TTTTTTGGGGGGGGGGGGGGTTAAGTGGGGGCGGGGCAGGGCACCATGTTCATGTTTTACCCCTGGCGAGACCAAACTAACAAGATCAACGGGTACTACAACGCAAAATGTCAATGAACTTATAGTTATATATAATTATCACATTTGTTTGCATGATACTTGCAACTGTTATTTTGTTCGATATATAAATCAGAGTAGATCATCTTATTTATGGCCAAGAAAGGGCCGGGTGAACGGGGCACTCACCTCGAGAGGGGGGGGGGGGCAAAAAAAAACGTCTTTAGGTAGGTGCTTAATAGTGAATTAAACCTAAACAATACAATTCCATGTACTATGGCTACTATGTACTTCACAAAGACGTGAGGCATCAAAATCGTCTTTTGACTGGTCCGCCCTGGGCGCCACTTTTTCTATAATATATCGGTGGGCTCCATTTTCAGGCTTTACCCAGGCCGCTGCTCTTCCTCGGCACGGCCCAGGGTCATGTTATTATTGTTATGAACTTGACTAATGTGAGTTTTGAAAAAGGCGTGGCTTTTTTTCGGTTCACACGTTAAAATTTTCGTCAAATTTCTATTTGAACGCACTATACTCTATAGTAAAACAAAATGATGTGTTCAAAAAGAGATTTGAAGCGAAATTTTATTGTAAAAAACAGAAAAAAAGTTTCGACCAAATTTCCGTTCGATCAAATTACCGTCGATCAATTGACCGTCGACGAAATTTCTTTCGATCAAATTTCCGGATATGGTATCTCCTGAATGTGTTGTTCATGATACCTCTCGCTAGGAGCGCTAGTATGCTGTTGCGAAGCCTTGTTTAATGTATAGCCTTGCCGAGATCACAGGAGTTTTCAAAGTATGATCTTTATTGTCCATCTTTGCAGACCAGCTTACTTGATCGAATTTGCAAAGTATGTCGCTTAAAGTTTGCCTCACAAACAATGTTGAAGAAACATGCAGCACAACACATAGCTCGGGCTCGGGAGAATGTGCCAACTCAAACTGTTCCAGAATCAACTCAGATAAAACGCATCAGTCCTTTGAGAATCGCTGCTAGAAGGCAAAGAGAACTCATGGCAGTTATTGCCAGAAGAGAAAATGCACATTCAGAGGATGTTGAGTGGCTAGATGAGGATGAAGTTGATTTGTCAGCAATTATACTTCCAGAAAACGATAATGGTGAAAGATTGACGCCAGTCGTAACTATGGATGAACGCTTCACTTCACCATGGATAGATGATGTCCAGTGAATATTTTTAAATTAAACATTAAACAGGCCCATAGTAAACAGATTCAATATAGCACACGAGTTTGTCACATAATTTGTCAATCTAGTCTTCCTTTAGTCAAATTGTTTTGTTTCCTTTTTATTATTTAATCACTGGGTGAGGTCAAGTTTCGCTAATCTACTTCTTATCCTGTGTAAAAAGATTGCAAAGTCTGAAATTATCTAAAACTTGACCTCACCTTTTATAAACGAACAAGCAGCAGATAAATGATGTGTATTATATAATGGTCAAGTCTAATTTTTGCAATTTTTGTTTTAGAATTCAATCTAGATTGAGTTACTGCTTCAATGAATAACTCTGATAACTGTTGACAATTAACTATTCTACCATTAGTCATTTTAATAATGTTATAGTTCTTTTAAGTGGAAATTTTATATTTCAATACAGTTTAATAAAGACGTGTGCTTTAGATTAAATTTTAATTAGGTGTTAATTTTTATAAAAAAAATTGTTCGAAAGTGTGATGTAGTTGGGGGGGGGGGGGGGGGCGGAGTTTGGGGGCGGTGTGACAGTTTGTGACGGGAGGAGGGGGGGGGGTAAAAATGGTCAAAAATAGCGTGACGTACTTTAAGGACGGCCCCGTGGCTGCCAATCCACTTGAAAAAAAATATTTAAGAACTATTAGAACTATTAAGGCTGCAATGGAGCCACAAATGATGACAGCTTCTGATCTATTTCGACAGCACAAGGGGAGAGCACAGCAAATACAACCATCATAATAATAGATTTTAAGATTTTGTTTCTTTAAACGCAGTATTACACATATGGGAATTCCTAAGACTCAGCGAAGCTGAAATTCACGAACATATAATCATTAGAATGTTCAGTTGTTGTGATTAGACACTGTTGTAACTGATCTCAATAAGAAATTATGAAGGAATATGATCATTTCAATACAAAATATTTATAAGTAACAAATTTCTAATAAGAACAAAATAATGGAGCAAGATGTGTCCAGGCTTGTAAAGAAAAGACAGGACAATTAAACGGACATTTCAGCGAGATGTCTTCTTCAGATGTCTTTTCTTTTGAAGCTTAAATATATTTTGTTCCATTATTTATTTCTCCACACAGCTTGAACGCAATCCCCGATATATTATCTTTAATAAGAGAGACTTGTACATCAAAAAAAAAAAAAAAATTAAATAAATAAAATATCCAACTAAAAAAGTTAAATTGGAGCTAGATTAATTCTATTCTATTCTGATGATAACAGCAAAGGCTACTCATTATTTTCAGAAATTTTAATCATAAGATGCAAACAGAAAACTTGAGTAAAAAATATCCTCACTGGATATTGATGAAGATGTGATGAAGTTGGAAGTACTTGGCTATCTAGGCTCAAAACATGGTACTGTAGTTTTACCAGCTAATCAATAGCTGGCATGGAAAAAATGGTCTTAGCCATGAGTTGGTTACATGATTATATATATATTGCAATAACATAATGCCAGTAAAGTGACCTATTCGGTCTGTATGTCATTATTAGGGCTTGGAAGATGGGTGATTGTTTTAAAGCAAAAATATTAATAAAACTCATGTAGGTCTAGTTTATGTGACTTTAAACTGTAAATTTTTAAGTAACTGCAGGTGTTGATTTGATCACGCATTATACCATAATCAATCAATTCATACAATTATTGTTCTTCATTATACCATAATCAATCAATTCATACAATTATTGTTCTTCATTATACCATAATCAATCAATTCATACAATTATTGTTGTTTTTCATGATGTATTTTATAACAAAATCAAATGGAGGAGAGAATATGCTTTTTTTAAGGTGTTAGTTATGCTGCCCAATTGAAAGATTGTAAAGCAGAGGCAAAAATACACCCTCGATGAGCAAATCCAGAGGTTAAAAAACACCAAGATCCCATGATAGTGGTGGTGTTCACAATGAGCTCAAAGCTGTTGCTAGTTCTTTCATGACACTACATTGGTGTGGCAATATTTCATTGAGCAACAGGTTTGAATATTTTAATGTGTGAAGTGAATGTGCTTATAAGTTTCTGATCATGTTAGTATATTATTTAAATTTGTTTAAGTTTCCTTGAACATAACCAATAATTTATGGACACAACGTGTGCAATTTTCAATGCATTTAATTAATAGTTATGTTTATTTCAATGTAATCAAACATTGGTGAGATATATAAAAATCTCTGTTGCAATGGAAGAAATTTTCCATTTAAAAAAAAAATCTCCAATCAATACAAATGTTTACATTTTAGAGCCTCTTTATTTGTCATATTTCCACTTCCTTATGGGTACACAGCCATTTAGAATAAGCAAATAATTGTGAGTTTCAAACGTGAGCATATGATTTTTCAATATGAAAAATAATGGCCTTGCTGTTGGACAATCAAAACAGGTCTCGACACAACGGACAAGAAGATTTCTGACTTGTGTTGAACCATTTGTACTGTGGAAGGAAATACAATGTCAAGTTATTAATTAGAAATGTGCTTCATCCAGTGGAACCTTAATAACTAATTACTGACAGTGCGCATTTATTAAGAAATATGTTCCATCACCATGTTAAAAAAAATATTAACATCTGCCTACTTTATTAATTTTTTTGTTGTTGCTTATTGCGTTCTTTAAAAAATAATATAATTTATTTCCTCACAATTATAATTATTAAAGATTCTCTGAGGAGCTTTGTTTGTTTGTTTTGTTTTAAAAAAATATATTTATTCCAATTTTCGCTCTCTAGGTAATCAATATTATTATAGAATTGATTAAAGATCTCCTAATGATGTCAACAATAGGAATTGGGTCTATTGGGAATGCAGAAAAGAAAGAAGAATTACCAAACAGGCTGAATGAAACTTCTTTTTACACGTCCTGCAGGTGAGTTTAGGCAGCTGGAATGTTGTCCCATGAATGACAGAGAAGCAGATCATGCAGTCTTCAATGCCCTCAAACTTCTTGTCTATGTTTCCTTTCCACAGCCGCAAGCCTTCGACAATGCTCCCATTCTACAGTATGAAAAAGAGGGAAGAAGTACAAAATTAGAAAAAATTGAAATAAGGATAATTATTAATCTATTACCGGTATCCTTAATCCATTCCTTATATCTTAACCATTACAGCAGCAGTCTGAGCCACTAATTATATATGAATAAACATGAACATGTGTTTAATTCAAGAATATAACATATTTTTTTGCTCTCATTGGGTTCTATAGTTTAACTTTTCTACTAAAAATTCCAACCTGATGTTGAAGGAAAATATTGAGTTGCAGCAACCAACGATCCCATTGTGCTTGGGAGACACCAACTCTCTTGTCACATGTGACATCTAGCTTTCCTAGGGGATAGTTCTCTGGCAACACTATGCTCATGTTAATAGTTACTTCTGCCATCTGATATGTGGCAGAAACTTCTCTGGCAGCAGGTCTTCCTCGGATCTGCAAATAGAGGGAGCCTTACAAAAAAAATTTCCTGATTTGTTGTACAATTTTTTATAATGATAAACTGTATGCATGAGATAGCAATTCTTTGAGACTTTTAGAAAAAAATGGGTACAATGCTAATCCGAAAAAAAGGAACACACTAACATTTTACCCCATCTTTCTACAAATGTTCATGTAAGGCTTCATATAGGCTTACTTATACTTAGATATCTCAAATCTTGCTATATACAAGTGCTATATACAAGTGTAGGTCTTGCCTCATACTTGGATATCTCAAATCTTGATATATTCGAGTGTAGGTCTTGACATAGGTTTCCTTACACTTATCTCAAATATTGCTAAATACAAGTGTAGGTCTTGACATAAGTTTCCTTATACTTAAAAATCTCATATCTTGCTATCACATAACCATATATTAATTTGTGAAAATTAAACAACGGATAAGTTTAAATTAGACTAGAAGACAAAATACAAATTTAAGACTTTCGGATAAAGCCTTCATCGGTAAAACTGAAATACAAACTGAATTTGGATTCATGCAATTTATAAGTGGCAAGAGAGATAGCTCATCACAACCCAATTGGTGTCTAACCTCGTTTTTAGCCATGAGCTCTTAGCTAAAATAAGCCAATACCGGTACCAACTGTTTACAGAATATTGATTACTTTAACCTGTGCATTGCTAGTCAAATTTTTATAAGGAACATATGATTTATTTAAAACTTGATGTATCAGATAATTTGGAATATACTGAGTGAATATTTAACAATATTCACATGAGTAATATTTTCCCCTTGAGTTTGATACTGGTTCCTATGAATAGCACAATGTTTACATTCAACAACTTACAGTAATATCAGCCATGCCATTTTCTGTACCCTGGGCTGAGGTGATTTGCTGCCTAATGAGGCCACTACTAATATACTGAGTGGTGAACCTGAGGGGGTAAAAAGAATCACTAAATTTGTTAGTCATTAGATGTAAAATGACATTCCCCATTATTTCCTCACAATTGGCACTCCCGATTAGTTGTACAATAATGAAGCTTTGTAATGTCCTGAAAATGTAAATTAAATTAAATTTATAATTTGTCATTTCCAATAGAAATTAATAGTCAAAACCCCAGAAAGCTAAAATAATATAATTTTTGTTAACGCTTAAAAAAATATTTGTGGCACCTAGTGACCAAATGTGTACTTTTCCTCAATGTCATCGAATTTGTTAAAACTGATAACTAAGCACATGATATTTCATCATTATTTCAGGGGAGAATAAGTGCAGTTGATCGTGCAAACAATATGTAAAAAAAAAATAATAATAATGTTTTACCTGTCAATAAAATTGGATGCTTTTCTATCCTGGTCTACCCACCAAGACCTGACAAGGGCTGGAAGGATCTCAAGACATTGACGATAAACTGACAAAGCCAAGTAGCCCAGCTCAAAATCATTGCCTTTATCTGAGACAAGGAGCAAAATTGATATTCATATAAAAGGTTCATTTTCACTTAAATGGACTTATTTTATATTACTAAACTAATATTAATATTATGCATAAAATTAAATCAATAAAAATTGCATAAAATTATCTCTCACTTATTTAGTTAAAATTTGAAATATATATTTTTTTTTTTTTACTAAAGCTAAAAAAGAGGAAAGAAAAGAAATAAAATAAAAAATTAACTTTTGTATAGAAAGTTAAAATATGAAATTATAATTTTTAAAAAAGAAGGGGAGAAAAAAAAGAGGAAAATCTGAGTTTACTATTTATGTCAAGCTGGTAATCCAGATCCAAGATGGAAGACGAGGGATGTTGTGGCATGAGTCTAAATAAATGATCCAGCAGATGGCTGACAGAGTTATTGATCTTGAAATACTGAGCATATTTGGCCCTCATCTGTAAATGATTTAAAATATATATTAAATTAATCATCTGAAAAATTACTAGCAGAAAAGCAAGAAGAATGTAGGATTCTTTTTGTCATTGAGGCTAAAACTTTTTTAGACAATAAGGGGGCGATTTTCATTCAGGCTTATCAAATAGGTACTAAGAAATACAGAAAGATATCAAGAAAAATTATAATTTAAGGCTGAATTTGTTTGTATACAAGGGGTAAACATGTTGCCGCATTAAAATAAATTTAAGGCAAACATTGTTTACACAAAATCGTCTGTACACTAAACTGTACCTGATTGCCAGAGGACCTAAAAAGGTGCAGCAGCAGTCTCCAGGCTAACAAATATCCCATGGCCTGTGCATGCTCCTCTGTGTCACTGTCCATAAGAATGTGGTCGTCAATCTGCACAACCTTCAGACAGTTCAGGAAGTGCCCAGCCGATTCAACCTGTTCTATTAAAGCTTCAGGTGGAGCCCTAGATTAAGTGTAAATTTGGTAAATAAATTCATAATATTTAGAGGAGAGTAATTTTTTTGTTAAATTGTACATTGTTTTCTCTTATGTTTTATCAAATAAAGGGAATTTTCAAATATATAGGCAATGTTACCACACAGCTAACTTCTATGTAGATTGAAGAAAAAAAATAAATTTACATGCCTTATTTCTTCTTCTTGTTTGTTGTCACTCTCTTGGCTCTCTTCATATTTTGGGATCTCTTCCATAATTCTTGATGAAAAAAAAAAACATCATAAAATATCTAATTACATTCTTGTCAATTTTTTTTCTCAACAAATTAAGCTACCGGTACATGCTATAATCAGATTTTTAATATACTGCAAATATAGTTCATAATACCACATGGTGACTTTTGATGAAATAGAGATACACAAACAATGGTGAATACATAAAAACAAATAAAGATATAACTTAAAGATTTGGTAAATTTTCAATTTATTTCACTTCTGTTGGGGTTAATGGTCCTCTGTTTGCTTCTTCTCCAAAATAATATTGTCCATTAATCTGTAATTTAGATGGTTTAACTTAAAACACATCATATGTTGTATTATGATTAGCATGCATATCCAAGTTACCAAATTTTTCATAATTTTCCAAATAAAAACAGAAAAATTCATGACTTTTCCTGGAGTAGCAGCATGTTTGTCATACATCTTTATTTTCCATCTTTTTTTAAACATGGTGATGGGCACCACCCTTTGTCCTCAACCAAAACAGGAATACCTCTAGTGTTGGCAGCATGCTGGCCACTACTGGAATACCTCTAGTGTTGGCAGCATGCTGGCCACTACAGGAATACCTCTAGTGTTGGCAGCATGCTGGCCACTAAAGGAATACCTCTAGTGTTGGCAGCATGCTGGAGACACTGGGCTGGTCACCATTGGAGGAACGACAATGACTATCCAGGCTCTCCATGATGTACAAGATAAATAATGGACTGGTCCACTGCTCCAGCATTAAATAGAAACACTGCCCTCTCCCAGACAGCGATGAGGCCATGACAGACAGTTACGGCTCATACCAGCAAGAAGCCAGTTCAGGACCTGCTCATTCCTGCCAAAGACAATCAGGGACTGGAACAAGTTTCCAAAAGGAACAGTTGAGGCGACAACACTTGAAACATTTCTGTCTATTGCCTCATGTCTTCCAACCTCCAGTTCATGATACCCTCACTGAGTAGCCCTTGCAACCAGTGAAATATCCTCTTCAACACCAGGCACAGAAACGTTGTAAATCCACTCTACATGCATAGCAGCCAGAATGATCAATAAATTGATCGTGGGCCCTTAATATATAGAAGAAGAAGAATTGTAATGATAATTTTCAAAGTTAAATTTGTCTATACCTTTTTTTTGTACAATAATTTTAAAAAATAAGAAAAATAACCTGTAAAATGTGTGATTTACCTCCACAACATGGTGTAGGCCACCACTTCCACTGTTCTCAGCTTGAACATGAGCAGTGGACTCAAATGATTCAGCAGTGTCTTCATGCTGTCAGGAATACTTGAGGTGTCTGTGGCAGTCAGCTTAGCTGGCAGCTGGTGAGCCAAGACAAGCCAGTGGGGACACAGGCTGGCTGCAGAGGCAAGTGAGTGCAAGACAAATGACCAGCAGGGGTCTAGGTCTCCAGAGGTTGTAGCTGCTGGAGGTTTTCAATAAAATGGAGGTTAGTTAGGTCGTAGGCACAATTTTTTAAAATTATGTGATGTTAGAAAATAAATTGGCTGATTAAGCTGTTTTGAGGGGAAAAAAATATATGTGATGTGTTCTCAGATCATAAAACAAATGTACTCCTTTCTATAAAATTAAGTGCCAATGCATATCAATAAAAAGCCATTGTTAAATATAGATGATTGTGCATTAAAGTAAAACTGTTTCTTAAACTATTGGCTTGGTACCACTCTCCAAAGATAAAGTAAAGCCACACAAAGCCATTCATTTTGGACAGATTTCAGGTTCAGTGCACAAGGTTTTAGTACCATTTATGTAACATTGGCTGTAATAAATTATGTAATAGACCAACCTGAAGATACAAACAATGGCAGTAAGGGAGAGAAAACTCCTTCTGAAAAGAACTCATTCCATTCAGTTCTGGCCCTTTCTGTGAGTGCAATTTCCTGTGCTGAAGTCTGTGAGAATGTTTCAGATGCCAGTTGGACTAGAGCACACACTGCCACCAGTAAACTTTTGGTCACAACATCAGATTCTTGACATACACTGGCTTCTGATAGGAACTGAAGTTTAAAAAATACAATTTATTATAATTACCAATAAGAGAGCATGGTAAGTACTGTTAGTAAAAATATATTCACTGGTCTTTGTAACAAATATCCACTAGCGTTTGTACAGAGATATACAGTAGTTCTACTAACAATGTACCAGTATCCATTAGTTTTACTACCAATCTATCCACTATTGCTACTACCAATACCAATCTTATCCAGTATTATTACAAACAATCTATTCATTATTGTTACTACCAATCTATTTACTAATGTTACAACCAATCTACTCATTTATTCACTATTGTTACTGCCAGTCTATTCACTAGAGTTACTACGGTACCAAAATATTCACTAGCATTACAACCGATCTATTCTCTAATGTTACTACCAATAAATGCACTAGTGTTACTACAAATTTTTACAAAATGCAAATGTAAATGTTTTGGGAAATGCCTTCATCAGTACAAAAAAACAAACATTTAAATAAGTATAAATTAAATTTACATAATATATATTTTCATAGATCCTACCTAAAAAAATAGAAAAGAATAAGAGTGGGCAAAAAGCCAGACAAAAACAAAGTTAAGAAGTACTAGAAGGAAGTGAGTGGAAGTAAAATTTAAAAACCCAACAGGCAAAAGACATGGCAGCTACATTTAAAATCATTATTAAAGCTGAACATATATTGTTTTATTTTTACAAATTATTTGTGTCTAATTATTTTACTTTAAAGCTTTACCAACACTCTTCTAATTAGTCCAATAAATACATTCCTGTTAATAAACATATTTCCCCTTTACATAAAAAGTTTATAAAAGTTTCTGACTACAGAAACAAGTTGAAAAAATCCTGATGATGTCACTAAAACAATAACATGACCAAAATACATGTCTATCTTGGATCAAGCACCTGAATCCATTCGGCAAGTGTACAGAGGGTGAACTCCCAATACTGCTGATTGGTTGGCACAATTACCGTCTTGAGAATCTTAGCAGCCTGGCAGTTCCAGTGTATGTTCTCTTGGGAAGCTGTGACATCACTATTAAGATATATTTTTTAAAAACATTGCAGTCAGTTATCATTGGATACTAATTAGAGATTATAAACGAATGTGTTTGCTTCAGTTATAGTTTACAATGCAGCTTGTCAAGACAGAGCAAATAATGAGTTGGACAGCTAAATAAAAAACCAAGGTGTGATGTTTAATTTCATCAAAGATTTAGAAAACTCCTACAAATGTCTATTGATACTTCAAGTCCAAATCCAAAGCTCAGTCCGCTTTCAATGTAACAAGAAAGCTGTCACAGTTTACTGTGGGATTAACCCAAAAAAGAGAAACAAACAAAATGACTGCATGCAACAAGTGTTTACCTTCCCGACAACAAATGAATGTCCTTTTCCTTCAGTTTCTTGACAATGTCCAGGACAGTCTGCAAAAATGACATTTTCAGTTCCTCATTGAGAAGGTTATGGTGCAAGGACAGTGACAGCCATCCCGAGAGTGTCTCTGGAAATTAAAACCATCAAAGTTACAGACAATCATGGCTGTCAAATTAGTCAACCAGTGTTAAACACAACTTTGGTTCTCTGGATTGTATATTTTGCACAGCTGAAACTGATAGTAGGATCTCACAGGCAAGGTAAAAATAGAAACTATCTTTCATAGGTACTGTATATTTTAGTGCCCAGCATCTTCCATAAATACCCAGCAGATCAGAAATAAATAGTTTATTAACTGGGCCTGAAATATGAAGAGCTGAACTGTTTGACAGGAATCAGCCTAAACAGAAGACTGTTTTTTTTTTTAAAATAAGAAAATTTTAGACCAAAAAATATAATTGTATGATACCATTCTTCAGTTTGATTTATTTCAGTGACAATTCTGGTATAAAAATCATAAGACAGACTACCAGTACCAGTGATATAGCCTATGGAGGGCAAGAATAAGACAGACTACCAGTGATATAGCCTATGAAGGGCAAGATTAAGACAGACTACCAGTGATATAGCCTATGGAGGGCAAGATTAAGACAGACTACCAGTGATATCGCCTATGGAGGGCAAGATTAAGACAGACTACCAGTGATATAGCCTATGGAGGGCAAGATTAAGACAGACAACCAGTGATATAGCCTATGGAAGGCAAGATTAAGACAGACTACCAGTGATATAGCCTATGGAGGGCAAGATTAAGACAGACTACCAGTGATATAGCCTATGGAGGGCAAGATTAAGACAGACTGCCAGTGATATAGCCTAAGCCAGTTTTATATGTGTTTGTGGATTGCACAAATTTACATCACAGGCCAGTAGGACTTAGTTTGAACTAATCTTGGTCTAGAAAGTGGTCAGCAGTTGATGGCCACACTCACCTGCAAGCTTGCTCAAACTGATGATGTGGGTACCAAGAAGGTAAGAAACACTGATTGCCAAGTTGTCTTGAATACTTTCTTTCACTATGCCTGATGTCTTTAGGTTTTCTATCAGCTTGATTGCCAAATCACTGTCTACACACCTTTAAAAGAATAAAGAGCATGTAAATCTGGCCACATTTACCTTCAAATTAAGCTAAATATCCTGAAGTGCTAAACTGTAGAGGTTTAGAATGTGAAGACAAGAATTGGAACTTACTTGGATAAAAACATTACGTAAGCATCAAAAAGATGGATGCTTCCAGGTTTCTCCACAACCTGGACAAGTGGCTCAAGGATGGACTTGATGCCACAGGAATATGAGCACCACTGGTCATCTTGACTGAAATAAAAAGATTGACAGATTAAAAATAACTAAAGATCTAGAAACCTAGAAAATTGTATTGCCGTGTTGTCATTTCTTGTTTTAAGAGGTGAAAGATGAATTTATAATAAACTACTGGTGAATGACATACCTAAATGGTCCCCAACTCTAATCCTAAACCCACCATGATTATGTTATTCTGTTGCGAAATGTTTACGACAGGTCTCCCCGCCACATGATTGTGTTTCTGACTCATCACTTCTCTTACCTCTGAGAGATCAGCTCATACACAGTTGAGAAATTCTCTTCTCTCAGTGTTGCCATACAGTCCGCCAGATCCTTCTTTACAGAAGTTAAATCATCAGCCATGTCTTTTAAGGCCTGCAAAAAAAAAAGAGGGATTGAAAACCCTGCAGCATTCATTGTGATCACCTTGTGCAAGCACAGAGCCATTACCAGTCATTGATATAAAAATAGTGGGTTGGGCGAAAATTCTTTTACCACAAAATTCTGACAGTCACCACTATGTTCTTCAAATTACATATTCTGGTTTCGCCAGGCTCATGGCATGTGGCATTATTTTTAAATTTAGGCTCAGTCGGTGTAGGAGAAACGGTATGTCATTTACTCCAGTGCCTGTCAAAGTTGGTAGTCCTTTAACATGCACACTCCCGTAAGCAAAATATGAGAAATATAAGAGATAATCAAGCAATATAATCATTGAATTGGCAGCTGTTCTCTGCTGGTGTGTAGATAAATTCCTGCCAGTACATCACAGTTTTAAATAATCAAGATTACAGTAACATTAATCATACATTGGGGTGAAGCTTGATGTGTTTATCCAGTAGATACAGTCTCAGTGCGAGCTCTGTCATACTCTGGAGTTGACCTCTTGACCAGTGGTATCCATCGTCCTGTGACCCTTTCATCTGAAAGTCCTTGTTGAGCACCAGTGCTCTAAGGTTGTGGATGCTGATTAAGGTGTAACTCACAAGTGACACAGGTGGAGATACAATGACAGGGGGCAGGTGTGAGAGGCCACCCTCCATGTACATCAGTTGGTAAACCTGCGATAAGGACAGTCCAGTAAGAATTACCAGAGATAAAGAAACTTTTACAATTAAGATCACTGCCAATAATAGCTAATACTTAATAATTCTTTCAAAGACATTCTAAATTCATTTTTGGATTTCATTCATTTACAGATGTAACTAGACCAAAGAAAATGAATATAAACGCAGCAACTCCTAAATTAAAAGACATGCAATGATGGAATTAATTTCCCTGGCCATTTTGGTTGTATGGTGTAGAAATTCAACTAAAATCTCCTATTATTTTTTTGTGGCATATAAATTCACAATTAAATTGATCAATAACACACACTTGAATTTTCTCTGGAAATACATTTGTGAATCATAAAAACTTAAAAAATTAAATTTCATCAATAATTAGGCTTGAAACCACATTTGACCAGCAAGACATGAAAAGAAATCTTGGTCATCTTAATATAGTGAGTAAAGCTAATAAATTATATAGCATCCAGTCCTAAGAGCCATAATGATCAATTCATTGATCATGGGCCCTCAAAATATAGAAGAAGAAGAAGCCAGTTTTGTAATTGGTAAATAATGTGGATTTTGATTGAATAACATTTAGTATATTTAAAATGTGAGTTATGCTCATCACTTGGCCAGCGTTTAAGTTCCAGATGTATCAGAGGCTGATTGTAGTTAATGAGTCAAGGGTCAAAATGATCACAATGAATCTCTTTCAATTTCTAAACCAAAAAAATTGGTAACTGTGGAGCTGGGTAACAAGACAGTAATCTAATTACCCCACATGTCAACAAACCTCATTGACACCATCAAACTGACTTTGGTCCAATATCAAAAATGAGTCTATCGTGCTGGATAAGACTGTAAGATCATATTCGGATTTGTTGCCCTGGTCCTCACAGAATGAAGACACATGTGTTACCACACTTTTCACAGCTTTACTTGCATTTGATAAGCTGTAGACAGTTCATCAAACAAATATATAACTTTAACTTCTCAAATTTGGCTTTATCAGCTGGGAAAAAATGTAAATTCTCAACCTAATTTTTGTCAAATGCCATAAGATGATCTAGTAGCAGTAAGATTAAATTAAAAGTCAGAGGTTCTTAGTTTACATTTAATTATCCCAAAAGATTTAAATAAAATGAGCACATTTTAAATTTCTGTTAAAAATCTCATTACAAATATATTCTTTCTGATAAGAAAAGTAATTATGGGATATTTATGATATGGGGAGAAGGGGGCAAAATGATTTTAAAATTTGATTCATATTAATATATGAACGTATTTTGTATCATGGATCCAAATGTATAATCATTTGGGTAATTGAATGGGGGTTCAAAATTATATTCAGCCCTCTTAAATGGCTTGGGACACTTGTTTTAAGTGACATACATGCCTCAGCTAATTTCAACTCAATGATTGTACTGACTGACCCCGAAAGTGTTGCTGCTGGTAAACAGATCCATGCTTTAATCAGCTGGCTCATCTGACTTATGTGCTGGTGGATCTCTGTGTCAGATTTTTTCTCCACAATGTGGTCAAAGCCGCATTTCCAAACAGAATTAACTTCTTCTACAAGCTCTGAAATTTTTTTTAAAATAAAGTAATATTACAGTAAAAGACTAGATTTTTATTGTGTTTACAATTATGAAGAGGACACAGACCAGGGCTAAAATAATTTTTAAAAAAATTAATAATCTAGTCATGAAAAGATAATAAAGGGATGACAATTAAAATTTAAACAATCATGGAATAAGAGCATTTTTTGAAAGGGGATACACAAAATTTTTTTTAAAAATAAACATGAACATTGAACTTTTCTTTTATCCATACATGAAAGACGATGAGATTTCAAACAGAAGTTTGTGTTATTTTGGTACTTAAAGTTAAAGAGCAATAACTCTCTGGGCTAAAGGGTTGCATGCAGTTCTGAACTTGAAATTTACTTGCTTTTGAATAACTAATGATGTGAATTAACTTGTACATTTAATAAATGTGAATTTATTTTCAGTTATCAGTTAATGTTAATGTAGGTGGTAATGTTAATCAAGTCCATATAATTTAAAGATTTTTTTTTAAAAATTGGCCCTATGATCCAAATGCAGTTTGCCTCACATAGAAAAGGTGGTGGGCTTAAATTCATCCACGATCATCAGCTGTGGACAAAGGGCCGAATGCAATGAACACAGGCTATCAAGGGAGCTATTCTTCTACCCTGAGCAGCGAAAATGGTATGGAATTAGCAATGGGGTAACTTAGGCAACCATATTCACTCATAAAAATAAAGATGTGTCAAATTCATTTAAAAAACTATAGATTTATCTATCAATGGTAATGTTACCTGAATTTTTATTGGCCAACAATAAACTGAAAAAACTCAAAACTAGTTCTCCAAGCTGTGGGTGTGTCCACACCTGTGACATGGATTTAAAAATTTCATCACATATCCTTAAATGTTTCATACAATTTGTCCAATAAAATCATCTCATGAAATTCCAAAAAATAAATGTATTAAAATATTAGAGAACTTATAAAGAATGAAGAAAAGACAAAGGAGGCATACTGACAGACAGAACTGCTTTTACATAATGGTGTAACAGTAACATTAGAGAAAAATTTATGGATGTTCTTTATTCAAATTTTAATGCTTAGAATAAAAAAAAATTAAGTGACATATTTAGAGACAATTTTAAAAAGATAACCTGGCTCTCTGTGTATGTGTACTCACAATAAATGCGACAAAAAGTACACTCCAAAACACTATACATATTCAATAAATACCTTTCGTGTGTCTAAGATTTTCTTGGTCAAGTTTATAACAGGGACCAAAGTGTCTCGGTTATTTTCAGAGACCTGCTGCTCTTTTAAAATACTTAGACAACTAGAAATGGCAGAATCAAGGCAGGATTGGCTGAGGAGGTCATCTGGAACAAAATGGTTTTACAGATGGTTTAGTTTCATTAACTTATTTTGTGTCATGATTTCAGCATTTCTCCTGAAGTTTTGACACAAAAGAATAATATTACTTTTATAATGGAGCTACTAGTTAGAAGATTAAAAAAACAGAGTTTATGAAATAATGCTATTATGAACAAAAACAATGATTTAATATCACTAAAGTTAGATTTTTCAAAAGACATGAAGTTCATCTTATTGCAAAACCAAACATGCTCCACTTACTGTTACTAGAATCCAGAATGTCAAGAACTGATGTCAACATCTTCCATACAATATTAGATCCATTAACTTGGCTCTTGTTAGTCTCTATCCCAGCAAGAGTTACCTCTTTTATCTTCTTGGAGACCTGGGTGCCTTGCAGTAAGTTATAGCAGGCTGGCACTACAGGGCTATGGCTTAAGATATGTTGTATCAGCTGACATGTGATTTGACTGTCTTGAACATTCTGAAGAAAATAAGAACTTAATACATTTTCTGGGTGAACAAAAAACACATTTCATAGCACAATTTATTTAATGATCTTAATTATGTGTTTAAAATATTTGTGCAATTTGTTGAAAGCAACGTTGGAGTTAGTTTTTAGACATGAGAAAACAAATATTATTCATAGTGCTAAATTAATGACAAAATGTTTCTTATGCAGACACATAAAAAAATATCTGTGTGTAGGGAGAGTGTAGACAAATTAACTTCAACCTTTTAGGCCGCAGGCTAGTCCTTGCCACTATGTTAATCGATGTGATTTTTTTTTCTTTCTCTCTCCAAATATAATTCAGATAAGCACTGATCATTGATAAATAATATAGGCACATGAATACAAACAAATATGACAAATAAAATGTACAGAAAATGAATGAAAAAACTTCCATAGCTCTAAATCATGGCATAGCAAGCTCAACAGATGACTAACCTCTAATAAATATGAGAAAAATATGGTTCCTTCTTCGGCGTCCACATATGAAACAAAAGCCAAGGTGATCAGAACTAGGTCGTCTGTAAACTTCCCTCCTCCTAGATCTCTCAAACTCTTGTTCTTCTCTGCGTACAACAATAACTTGATGGCCTTCTTGCAGAGAAATCTTTGGTGGGCATTGTCAGTGCCGCACACGGGCAGCTCAGATTTAACATTTTCCTCAGCACAGTTGAGCAGGTTTTGTGATGGATCAAGAGCCAGGCTGGTTACTTTACTTTCATCTGCCAGCCTCTGTGCTGCAATCACGGGGATGTCAGTGAAGGAAAGGTCTTTGAACAAACCCATAAAAAGAGGTGCTGCATGTTCACTCGCCATGGCCAGTTCAAAGACTGTCACCAAAATGTCACTGACGAAGGTTTCAGAGGCACTGGATAACTTGTGTTTCTTTTTCCCAAGATTATTAGATTTCTTATTGCTAGTCCTGGTGTCCTCTTGTGCAAATTTAACCCTTTCTTTTGTTGCAGAAGATGTTTCTTGAAAGACAAGGCCTTGCATGAGAAAATTCAAGCACTGAAAGAACGGCAGGCTCTGTTTAACAGTGGAGGTATCTTGGCATCTCTCCACTATCAACTGATATTCTGCTTCAAGTTTTTCAACAACAAATGTTGATAATTCAGACCAAAAGGACTGTTCTGTCCCTGGCCTAATATTGTTGGAGACCTCAAGTAAAATGCTGAGACTTACATAGAGGTCTGTTTTAGACAGAGTTAACTGTTGCTCTGTCAGGGATGCTTGTACAACCAACAGAAGCTGAAGTAAATGTGAAGTCAATGGATTATTTTTTAAAGTACCACCCTTTTTAAATGTTATGTAAAAATTAAAAGCAGGAAATTCTTATATTCATTGGTTTAATCAGAAGGGATTAATCTAGATATTTAGAATGCTATCAGTCAACTAAGTTGGGATGCACTGAACAGAGGTTTACTTGTTTTTTTTTCCTCTTAATGCCAATGCAATACTATTATACTATTCAAGATTGTGTCATTGTTAGTGGACGTTTTTAATTTGGTAACATATTCAGTTGGTCTTTAGCCTGGTTAAGCAATGCTGATTTCTGGCCCGCTGCTGCATACTGACAGACAATCAAAAATTCTTATGATAGAGCTTTGCCCCTTTTTACTGTTCAGCTTTACAAAATTTCCCACACTTGGTACTGACAGTCAAATCTTGAGCTTAACATAATGATAAAACATCTAGATGTTCTCTATGTGTTTGAATGCCATATACCATTTGACACAATAAAAATAGTTCATTTAATTGGTTAAATAAATGAATTAAATCAAGCACTTGGTGCATCCATAATAACTAATAATACATTTAAAAATATCTATATTCCTTTGAGATTACCAACACTAGAAATAACCATACCTGGCTCAGAATTAAATCTCTGACATCTGAACAATCATTACCAGAATTGTTTATACTTTGAATGCTGTAGTGAATGCATTCTGTAAAGCTTTTGACAAGAGCATTTGTGTCCGATGGACTGTACAAAGATCTGGCTGCACATAAGCTGGAATAAAAAAAATGTTGAGTTATGATACAACAATAACACAAGTCATCAAAGAGTTTTTTTCCATCAGTTTTTAAGAAAATTGTAAAAATGTGAGGTAAAAAAATACACTTGGACTGTATAAAAAAAAACCCAATGGTTTTACATTAAAGCAAACAGTTATAATATTATAAAATGTTGATGGAATGAATGTTGCACCTACCCCATGCGAAACGAATCAAAGAACTGACGGTAGTTAAGGTTAACAATTTTGCTGAGGAGAGGTAGTAAACAGGGTGAGACAATTGCTGCCTGACCAGAACAGCCTGACTCAAGAATGTGTTTAATCTTTGGCCACATGGCCTTTTGCCAATTGATGTGCTCCCAGCAATCCTGAAAAACAAAAAGAGCGGAGCCATTTCTTTTTCTTCATAGTTATTATTTAAACATTAGTTAAACACAGACATAAGGCATCTTAATGAACTATGATATATTTTTTCACAGAAAATAAAATTTTCAAATTTCTATATTGTGTTAGAGTGGCAGTACTTTTTAAAGCACAGAAAGACTTTTCCACAGATAGATATTTATGTAGGAATTGGAAAAGGGACTCCTGACCTTCCATTATTTTATTATTTTGTTCCTTGTCATTGTTATACTGGTGACTTATTTTAACAGGGAGAAATCCATCGTTGAAGTCGGTGGGAGGGGGGGTGGGGGGGGGCGGCAAACCGCATGTTCAGGTTAAGTGGAAAAAAACCCCAAAATATTTTATAATTCGTACTCTTTGATGGTACCGTTAACTGACAAAGGCTTTTTGTTGTTTTGTTTCGTATTTTTTTCCCCAGGTTTTCCCTTAACTTGATTTACAGATATTTTTTTATGTACTCAGTCAGATACTATTTTTATAAAGACCAACATCCAAAGTGAGATATTGCTGGGAAAATGAAGTTTTTAACATGTTACAAAAATTGCGACCCTGGTAGATCCCGAAGATTTATTCAATTCTGTAACTGAACAATTTTTTTGCATTTTGTGTAATAAAAGAATGAAATGTAAATTCCACTACATTTGTTTGAAACAGAAAGTTAACTTTTTAAAAATCTATGACAATTTAGCCAGATAAAAAAGCTTGTTGAAGAGCTTTCACTTACCTGATGGGCTTTAATCATAGAAAGAGTGGCCTCCCATGTGTACGAGATCAAAGTTGGATCACTAGCGTCGAGGTTTGAGATGACGAATGGAGCTATCTTGTTCACTGCCTTGCTAGATGCATCCGGACACAGTTGGCAAACTACTGCTAACAAGCTCAGTAAACCACTCTTAATCTGAGCAAGTTAGAAGGAAATTTAAGTTAAAAATCTTGTTAAGCATACTTATCAATGTCATTGGCTGCAGAGATAATTATCCCCAAAAGCAATTATTTGATCATAGTTTGAGTTAAACTCAAACATCAAAAATTTTACAAGCACAAGACTTCACTTGTCTTAATAAATATACTAAGGTTACATTAAATAATAGTTTTTATTCTTTCTTCATTAATTTTAACTTTCCACCTATGCATCTTTAAACAAATATTTTATTAAAAACAATTATTTATAGAACACATACGGATATTGTTGTGGATTTTGTATGCTTCCAAAATGCTGAACTTGACAACAAGGCATCAATGTGCTCAGACATGAATGTGGTGACAGTGTCAGCTGGAAGTATTGTTATAAGTTTACGGAATGCAAGCAAGCTGGAGCTGACTACCCTTTCATACTTGGCACCCATGTCTGTCTCACTTGTGGTTCTGTGAATAAAAAGTAGTAAAATGAGATGAAATTTAAGTAACTAATGTATAGGATCCAATATAGAATTTTACAAGCTTAAAAAGAATAAGCAATGAGCTCATAATTAAAGTTTTGGTATCAGAAATATACCAAACAAAACCAGTCAAATTGTTTATAAATAGAGATAAAATAAGATGACGTGCAGAACATTCAAAATTTAAAAAAAAAATAGCAATTGTCAAATTTAAAGATGAAAGGACCTGTAATTTTTTTTTTTTTAATTAGTAGGAGGTAACTGAAGCTTTTTGTTTTAAAGAAAGTATAATTTAAAGAATATATATCTTACTGTGGATCACTGAGGGTCTCTGGGGTAGCTTTCAAAATATTGTTCATCAAACACTGGAGTGCATAAATTAATGTATTAATTAATATAACTTGCATGGTAGAACAATACAGGTAAATACAAACACACATTCATCAAACACTGGGATGTATAAATTAATCTATTAATTAATATAGCTTGTGTGGTAGAATAATACTGGTAAATACAAACACCCATGTCTATATCACACATTGGTTTAAGCCAGAACCCCAAATAAATAAGGGTGTTCTCTGGCAAGACTCTAGCAACAGAATTTTACTATCAAATTAGTGTTGGGCATTGTCAGGATTGGTTAACATTAATCATCTTCTAAACATTAATATGATATTAATTACAATTTATTATTATATCATTTTGATGAAATACAACAATGACATAATGTAGTTAAGGCATTATTATTTTTAAATTTACCATATTAAGATTGCAGATTACCGAGACAGAATATCATTAAAATAAAGCTTTAAATAAATATATACTAAAATTTAATCCATTGTTTCATAATTATTTTTATTACAGATTATTATTTCATATTCCTTAAAGTTATGCACTCCACTATTGATTTAAAAAAAAAACTTCAAGTTTATTTTAACACTTGATGACAAAACTTTAAACTTATATAAATTATGTTAATTTAATAGCACCACAATAGCACCGTGAACCAAAAGAAATCAATTATTCATTATGGATAATAATTAAATAAATAATTCAAATATAAGGACTAAAATTCTTGGTCCTCCTCTGTGAGTGATTTTTACCTCCACTATATCAGCCTTACAAAACTGTACTGCCTCAACTTGTTTAACTGATGTGAAAGTGTTGGTGAAAGCTGTGTTGGCTGCTGATGCCACAGTGGGGTAGGTATCACACATTGCAACCATCCATAATCCCATGAAGCTCTTCAGCTGTGGAGCCAGGCATTTCCCTGTTTTCTCAGCTAATGCTAGAAGGGCTCGTTGAGACAACTCTCGTACCTTATGTTCAATATCCTAAAAGACAAAAACAGATGACTCTCATAAATATGCCCACATTCTGCTATTAAACTATTTTTTATAATATAAATTTTTATCTAGTTGTTTTTTAAAGTGGCTTCCCATAGGCCTACTGTGCTATTTATTATCTGACCAGAAACTATGACTTAAATAGAGAGGGGAATTTAAAAAATGCATTCTATATATAATTTTTTATAAATTAAAAACCTTAATGGAGCAGTTCTATGAACTCTTCTTTTGTCTCCATCTTAAATAATACCAGGGCCCTAGTCAAACATTTAATAATTTTTTTTTTTTTTAAATGTTTTTTAGTCTATTTAAAAAAAAAATGAAATTATAAAAGGTCTGCATAATGAAAACAAGATACTGAAGTTGTGCTTAATTAATTTCTATTAATAGATTGAGAATAAAAAGGCTGCACACTTAGTGATAAAAGAGAAAGTGAACTCAAAGACTGTCTAAAAAGATTCCCTATCCCTATGTAATTGATCTACTAACTGCAGACTCAAGTAAAACAATATTTACAATGGCAAGCTTGTTGTACAGCCTGGGCCAAAATGGAACAACTGCTTTCACAAGATCCTCCTCTTTAGTGGCGCATAAAGTTATAAATTCATGCAAGGCCTGAAACATAAGAAGTGACTGTGAATTTTAATAATTAAATTACATTGTCGTTAATTGCAAAATGAATATTAATTTGAACATAATCTCTGATAAAAATCTAACACATTTCACTAACACCATTTGAAGATAATGAGAAATGTTCCATTTTTTTGAAGAAAAAAGACATATTTTACATTTAAAACAATATCAATGCCAACTAATAGTAAAGAAAATAAATAGGTGTTGAGCATAGATATTGCCTTTTAATTATTGCACTACGAATGTTGTGTTTTATTGTGCCGGCGTGTCTCAAGGGTTAGTTTCGTTGATAAACTTTCTTGATCATATAAGGATTGTGATGTTACTAGATTTTATGTGTCTGGACGTAGTGCCTGGACTGGCTTGGAGTACGGCTATTGTTAGTCAGTTGCTGTCTAAGCTGTGAGTGTGATGGTTGGAATGTTTTCCTCTAGCAAGTTGTGCTAAAGAGAGACAGACAGGTAGAGACACACACACAGGCACGCACGCACACACACAAAATATATACAGCCAGAGCTCGACTTACGACCATGATCAGTTCCGACAAACTGGTCGTAGCACGATTTGGTCGTAAGTTTAGTACGCTATGTGTACAGTAATGTGAAGTGATGTTATAAAAATATTTAATATTTAAGTTAAAGTATATCATAAATTTCTTTTATTATTGTTATAAATCATAATTTTCGATGGGAGTTCAAACTCTGAAGAGCTCTCCAATCAACAAGCTTTAGCTGCCCTTGGGGAAGTCAATGGATCTAAGGTAATTGATTGTGACAGTGTTATTTCTTAGAAATTGATGACGCCAGCTAGCAGCATAGCATCATCATAACATCATGCCTCCCTTTCATTAGTTAACGACCGCCGATGATTGAAGATAACGCGGTTCGACTGATAATTGAGGCAGAAATAAATCTAATATAGCTAGTGATTGTGGTCGTAAGTTGCATAGGTCGTAAGTCCAGCACTGGCTGTATATGTTTGAATAATTGTAGGACCCAGTAAAGAAGTGTTCTTTTTAGAGAACAAATATTTTCAATGCATATCCTAATGCAGGGTGGGCCTTGGTGAATGAATGTTTCAAATTGTTCTGATTAATTTTAGCCTAACCTTTATTTTGGTGACACTATCCCGCTTGGACAATTTGCGAAGGACAATTCGAAATTCTCCATCAAGAGCTGCTTCAGCATCATCAAACATTTCACTAGCTGGTACAAAGGCCGGGTTATTAGAAAACCCAATGAACCCTGTAGTGACATGACCACCTGCAGTTAACAACAGAGCAGCTTGGCTACTACTGGAAGGCTGAAAATATTAAAACGAAATTGAGTTTTAATTCTTTTACCATTTTGAGACTCCTCTACTGAATTTAAATGTTATATATTTGATAATTGTTTTTAATTAAATCAATTCTAAATTGATTCAAAGATAATCAAAATGTAATATATCAGCAATGTAACAATAATATAGGGCCACTGGACTAAATGATAGAATAATATAATTGTTTATTCTAATATTTAAAAATAAAATTAGTTAGCCCTCAGAATAATTATTAAATAAATTTAGATAGGCCACATATTGCAGATAAATGAGCTATTATTTTTTAAGGATAATATATGAGGGACTGTGCTAAAGCCATGTGAAGGAATTAGTGGAGCAAGCTACGATGAGGCTTGAAATGAAAAGACAGGACAAAGATAAGAGAACATTTCGGCTACATGCCTTCAGTTTTTTCAGTAGAAAAGACAAAACAAGAAAGTACAAACATTTAGAAATTACTTCAAGTGTCAGAATCTCATTATATTGGAAAAGGAAGCACTCTAGTCTATGTTAGAAACGGAAGGTCAAAATGTCTAAATCTTATATTAGTTACACTTTTCTTTATGCAAGAATTTAATGTTTTATCCATCCATCCCTGTGACGCTACAGCCCATATAGGGCTTTGGCCTGCCTCACCACTTCCTTCCACTCAGACCTAACTAATGCCTTTCGTTTCAATGCTTGGACTTTCAACTGCTGTAGATCATTTTCCACATCATATATCCACCTAAGCCTAGGTCTGCCTTTGAGCTTTTTTCCTCTGGGGTATTGGTGATGCACCCTCTTCGTTCCTCTGTCATTTGGGATTCTCTCTAGGTGTTCTGCCCAGCGTAGCCTGCCTCTTTTTATCTCTGCCACTATCATGGGATCCTGATATAGACTGCATAATTCATGGTTGGTTCATTTTCTCCATCAATATTCATCATTTGTTGGCCCATATATTTTCCTGAGAACTTTCCTCTCCCATGTGTTTAATAGGTTTTCTGCTGTTTTTGTTAGGGTCCAGGTTTCACTTACATATGTTACAACTGGTCTGATTACAGTTTTATAAATTGTTTTCTTTGTTTCTCTTGTAATGTTTTTACTTTTGATTATTTTCTGACTACTGAAGTATGCCCTGTTTCCGGCTGATATTCTTTCTTTTATTTCTGTTAGTAATTCGTTTCTTTCATTTAACAAGGATCCTAGGTATTTGAATGTATTTACTTTTTCAAAAGTCTGGTTTCTAATTTTAATTGCTTCATCTGTTTGTTCTTCTCTTATCATGGTCATGTATTTTGTTTTTTGATTGTTAACTTCCAGCCCTGCTTGTAGAGATGCGTCTTCTAATTCAAAAAAGGATTTTGATAAGTCTTTAATACTTTTCCATAGAAGTCCTATGTCATCAGCATATGCAAGATACTGAAGTGGTTGGCTGTAGAGTGTGCCCGTTGGTTGTGGATTTTGAGTTTCCCTCAGAAAGTATCCTGTTATCGTTCCTCGAGTGTCAATGTGTATGTTTCTAATAACTCTCTCTAATGTTAGGTTAAAAGCATACAAGACAGTGAGTCTCCCTGTCTTAGGCCTCATCTAATATGAAATTCCCTTGAATATTCTCCTTGAATCTTGATTTTGCTTTTTGAGTTGTTAAGTGTTACATGTATTAGTCTTGTCAGTTTGTTGGGTATCCCAAACTCCTGCAGAGACTCATATAGATAGTTTCTTTTGATGCTGTCATAAGCCATTTTATAGTCCACTTAGAGTTGATGTACTGGTATATTATATTCATAGCATTTCTCTAATAGGCATCTGATGTTGAAAATCTGATCAGTCATTGATCTGTTAGGCCTTAATCGACATTGGTAATCACCTAGTATTTCTTCAGTGTAAGGTCGTAGTCTTTTGGCAATAAGCTTTGTCAGTATTTTGTATGTAACATTTAATAGGGAGATTCCTCTGTAGTTTGTGCACTGAAGTTTGGAGCCTTTCTTGTGTATTGGGGTTATTAATGCTGTTTCCCACTCTGTCTGTATTTTCTCTTCTTGCCAAATTTTAGTTATAAGTTTATGTATCTGATTGTGTAGCTCTTTTCCTCCATATTTTATCAGTTCTGCTGTGATGAGGTCTTGTCCGGGGGCTTTGTGATTTTTCATATAATTAATTACGTCTTTGGTTTCTTCTAGGGTTGGGCATGTATAAAAGGGTCTGGTCCTCCCTGTGGGGATGATAATCTTCTTCTTGTTTATTGTCTGCATTCAGTATGTCCTCAAAATATTCAGCTCACCTCTCCAGTACTTTACTGTTTTCCCTGATTAATTCTCCATTGTGGCTCTCACACATTTGCGGTCTGGATTGGTATCCATTATTTTCATCTTTTATCTTCATGTACATTCCTCTTATATTTCCCTCTCTTGATAAATCTTCTATTTCCTTTAGTTTATCTTTTTCCCATTCCCTCTTTTTCTTCCTACACATTTTTGTTGCTTTCCTCCTGGCTTCCTTGTATGTTTGTGTTGTCTTACTGATATTCCTTTGTAACATGATCATTCGTGCTTTGATTCTTTCTCCCACAGTCTCTCTGTAATTTAATGTTTCACCATAATCATAACAACAATAAAAAGTTCAATATTTTAACAAAGTATGCTTATAAAATTCTAACAAATAGTTAACCACTGATAGTGTACCTTAACATTTCCTTTTGTGCGTGGTGCTTTCTTTGGGCCTGGCATTGTCACTATATTATATAGTGATTGTGTGATGTAAATTTAAGGGCAGAGGGTTATAATGACAAATGACTCAAGTGTCAAATACTGAGCTAAAGAGCCATGTAGCAAATTCTTGGTTGATCCTGATTAAGTTTTAAACAACGCTTGGTGTCATTTACCTGTTGACAAGAGTAGATCATTTATTAATTCATGTTTTTAAATTTACAATATAAAAGCTAAAACTATAGTATTATAATTATAGGGCACAGGCTAAATCAATAATCAACATTGTCTCAATTGTAAGTTAAGCTTTAAAAATTATGAGCTGAAATTATCATAGTAATGATACTTATCAGAATTAGTCAATATCATGTGCTATTAGACTTTAAATTAGTCCTAATTAGACCCAAGGTTGTGATGAAATCTATGTAATTTTATGTCTTCTTCTGTTGTTTTGAATAGAGTACCCTGAGTCTGAATACATGTCAATGATTTCATATTTTATGTGACAAAACAGATCAGGAAGTTATAGCCTATCTCTTATATATATTTGATTCTGGTGTGTCTTGCTCTTTTTCAAAACCACCCTTTCCCCAACAACTCCCCATGTTTTATATATGTAGTAGTACTGAGTGAAAAAAAAAGGCTGTCAAGCAGTGAGCATCAAAATAAAATGATTAAAACAGAGTAGGGTTAAACCTGAAAAAATACAAGCAACAAAACAGCGACCGTGTCGGCAGAAAGCCTTCGTCAGCAAACAAAACAACAGAAAAAACGGTATAAAAATAAGAAACAGCACTTAGCTGGAAAGTAGTATCTGTGGGCAGCAATAGAAGTGTGGCAGAAGGAAAATGAGTGAGAGTTTAAATAAGCAGCGGCGAAAAAAAGGGGGAGAAAAAAGTTCACTGTGATAGGTCAGAACGTGGAGGGGCGGAGCTAGGGTCAAGCTGTGAACAGAGACATAACATTAATCCCATCTGGCGTCAAAGTGCCGTAAGTCAGGATAAGTCTGTGTTCCAAATTGACCCGGCTGGCGGTGTTCGTGCTAGCCACAATCGCACTTATTGAAAAGTCCGCCTTGCCCTGGTGGTCACTACTATTGAAGTGTTTGGAGACGGGACACTGTTTATCTTGTGTAATGTTTCGGAGGTGTTCGGTACACCTGTCAGAGAGACGGCGTCCAGTCTCCCCTATGTATGTCATCTGACAGCGGGTGCAGACAATGGCGTAGATAACGTTGCGGCTTGTACAGAGGAAACCGTCGCGTATCTGAAAACTGCCCTTGGGGAAACGTATGCGTTCAGTCTGGACGACAAAAGGGCACGTGTTGCAACGACTGCGTCCACACGGCTTGGTCCCAAAGTGGGAGGGGGGAGCATTGATACGACTGCGTACAAGCAGGTCTCTCAGATTTTTATCCCGTCTGAAAACAATGAGAGGTGGGGAAGAGAAAATTTCTCGTGTGTCGGTGTCTGCGAGTAGTATAGATCGATGTTTAAGGAAAACACGTTTAGCAATCAGATTGTGAGGGTGATAAGTTAAAATGAGTTTTGTCCTGTCAACATTGTCGCTCAGACGTGGTCTGAAGGCATCAGCACGTGTAATATTCTTAACCCTTTGGAGGGCTGATGAAAGTACTGTCTCCGGGTAAGACCTACACCGGAAAAAGTCTATCATTTCAAGTGCCTTGTCCCAAAAGTCCTCATCCGACCGACAAAGTCGACGAAGACGGAGTAATTGAGAGAAAGGAATAGAGTCCTTACAGGATTTAGGGTGGGATGAAGAGTAGAGTAGATAGCTGTGGCTGTCGGTGGGCTTAAAGTAGGCAGAGGTGTGTAGGGTGTCTTTGTGAAGAGTGACTGTAATGTCCAAGAAATTGACTGAGGTCTCAGAGATGTGAGATGTGAATTTAATGGAGGGGTGAAAGGAGCCTACAAAGTTAATGAACAGGTCAAGTTCACTCCTCTCCATAGTGGTGACCCCTATACCATCATCTATGTACCTCTTATAGAATTGAGGGAGGCGTCCAGTATAGCTGCTTTCGACCAAGTGTTCGAAATGCCCCATGAACAAGCAAGCATAGCTGATTGCAGTCTCTCGCCTTATTACTCTAGTGAGCATCAAACAAGACAGTTGAGCTCTGGTAAATTGTTCAAATTTTTTTTTAGGGGGAAGCAACTATAATTATGTTAATTTTTAACCAATAAAGAGTCACGGGTATGGTGTAGGACAGTCTGTAAGACTAAATATCCAGACCCAGAGTAAAAAAAGTGAACCCGGATAAACCCTAGTACTGTACTATTTTACTATACTATGACTATACCATGACCATGCACTGTACATTATATTTATAATTTCTTAATTAACAAAAATTATTTATAATTATAAGCAAGAGCCCTACTATTTACTATGACTATACTATAGTATGACTAGACCATGACCATAAACTTACACTGTAGGCCCTACATTATTCATAATAATAATTATAAGCACAGGCACAAGCCCTACTCAGTACTGCCTACTGACCCTAGACCTAGATTAGAATAATTAATGATAATTGTATGAGTAGTAGTAGTAGTAGTAGTAATCTTATTAATAAATTAAATAGTTAGCGTGAAAAGGTAGGCAGGGTCAATTTATTTCTGCACCACAGTCCACACTCACACTGAGAATGGCACCCGGACTTACTGTTAAGCGTTTGACTGTTTCACTTACTAAACAGTACTTAAGTAAAGACTTAAAACAGCTGACAGCACACTCACTGAAGTCACTGTTGGCACCCCCCCAGTGGAGGTTTCTCCAAAACTAACTACACTTAGTCTTAGAGACTTAGATGTCTAACTTAACTTGTGACTTAGACTTTTTATTAGAGTATTAGTATTACGTACCAAGTCCAAGTATTAATTACTATTAACTTTAAATAAGTGAGACTTACTGAACTTACTCAAATTACTTGACTTATAATTTAAGTTTTATTAGTCTAATACTTAAATATAGGCCTAATTTTATTTAGTTTTATCAGATTTTTTAAAAAATTAATATATTCATAGGTTTATTTTGAGATTTCGCTGTTACCATAATCAATCATGTGCTTGATTTGAATTATTATACTTATTATTTTTGTTTCACAACATGCATGCAATACTGCGTACCTCCTAAAATAAATAGATTGTGTCATGTCAAATGGACCCTAAAAATATTGCAACACATTACACCCTACTGCCGTCTGTTCCAGATTTATTGGTTCAGTTATGTATTTGGGATAGTAGGCTACAGATATAATTTTTAATGGTAATGGCATTGGTTTAAGTTTAATTCATGAAATTATTGAATTTATTAAAATATATTGACTCATTCATGCGGTTTCAAAACTCTTTAAAATTTAGGTCTAGTAATATGAAGTCTACTTTTGCATAATACTTAACTGATACGTAACGTTCACGTTAGAGCACTCAGACTTAGAGATAGTATTAATAATTAATTAGCAATCTATCCACACAAAAAATATTTAAAGAAAATAGAAATGTTAGGCTTATTAAGACAAAAGATGTATCACATTATGATTATATCTCATTTAGGAAAGACTAGAAAATATTTGATAGGTACATAATTGCATAATTATTTTAAATTACCGGGCCGTGCACATGAAATGTAAAAAAAAAAAACAAATATTAAATATATATAATATATATTTTTACCCATTCTTACACCTCATTACGTATTTCATCAACTGACCAACCCTTAATATTAAATGTAATTAAAATTTCTGTCTGCCCCGCTCCCCTGATAAAACCGAATAAGTTCAAAAAGACAAGCCGATACAAGTACAAGAAAATTTTAATTAAAAAAGCCATGGTTAATTTTAAATTAAAAAAAGAAAGAAGAGATGACAGTGCTGAACCTGGACACTACAACCGATTACTTGAAAGTAATTTCAAAATATTAAAACTAGGTATAGAGGAATTTAATTAAATCAACAATAACATTACATTAGTGATTAGAAATAGCACCGATTAAAAACTAAATAAAGTTGCGTCTCAGATTCACATCTGACTTCACGTTATATCAGCCAAATTACTGCTTTATTTTGTCTCAAGATCTTTTTAATAATTTTAAAATAATTTTAATAATCAAAATCGCATTGAGCCATAATCATTGCATTGATTTTGATCATTGCGATTGTGAGTTAGTTAACACTTAACACTAATACTAAACTAGTACTAGTGACTGATACTGGACTAAAGTCACTAATTAAGTAGTGTTAAGTGTGGTAAATTTAATAATTAATACTATGATTTAGTATGATGATCAATGTCTTAGAACTTAGAATAAATAGATTATAGATAGTATTAGTATAGTATAGATAGTATGTATTAAATATTAATTATAAATAATAATTATTGTAATTTATATCTTATTATTATTACTTAGTGATTACTGACAAAATTACTGCCACTGTGTAGTCAGTGTAGTGTACTTGAGGCCTACTGTAAAATTAGTCACTGTTATTAAGTGTTATAAAGTTATACTAAAGACTAAACTATTATTATTATTATACATGGCTTACATGGTTTTATATAGCGTGGTACCCCAGCCTAGGGCTGGGCTCACCACGGTGTACATACAATTTAACAAACATAATAAAAAATCTGAAATAATTAATTGACATACATTAATTAAATACAAAAAACAAATGTATATATAAAACTATTTACATCTCAAGCCATGGACGACACTCAGTACCATCGTTTTACGGTCAGAGGTGGGAATCATTCAGGATAGTAGAGATTAAATAGATGTGTTTTGAGTGCAGTTTTGAAGGTTGTGTTGGTCGGTATATTGTGTAATGTGTAATGGAAGAGAATTCCATTGTTTGGGTGCACAGAAAGAGAACGATCGTTCACCATATGTTTTTGTGCGAGTCTTGGGGACAGAAAGACGCGCCTGCTGTCGAAAGGGTGAATAGTCTATACTCCACTGAAAAGTCCTTTTTAGGAAAGTCATACAATAAATATGTAAAAAAATTTATTATAAACTGACATGATGGTTATTATTATAAATAACAATTCCTGCTGATTATTGCAATATTGAATTTTTTAAACAGTGATTAAAATAGGCATAACAAATTTAAATGTTTAAGTTTAAGGCTAGACTTATTAATTATTAATTTAAAAAGTCTTAAGTCACTTAAGTCTTTAGAATGAGCAAATATTGTTTGGGGTTGGGAAATAATCTGGCTCCACATTATTTCAGTTCAGTGGACCAGAAATGCTTATTTTTCAAACTGTAAACAAAAATTAAATAAATATTTCAATAATAATATTATGTATTTAAGGTCAAATCAAAAGTATTTAAAAAAAGTAAAAAAACTTGAACCGTCTTCAGGCCAATGCTGACGAAAACCTTCACCTGCCACTTTGATTTGGGGAAAGGGAGGGGGGGGGGGGGGGGGGGAAAAAAAAAAGGGGGGGGGGGGGGGGGGGGTGAGCGGAAGAAATCAAAGGGGACATGAGACAGAAACTGGATACAATTTAAATAAAGTTTAACACCCATTCTTCATCTTCTTCATAGCCTTTATCATTCCCAGTAGAGCATAGGCCAGCCACAGTACTTTTCCATCTGTCCCTGTCCGGGCTATCTTTGCTAGTTCAGCCCAACTTTTCTTCATTCTCTTCACCTCTGCCTCTTAAAAAAAAAGAAAAATGCAATGGCAATGATATACTAAGGAAGATAAAGTGTAAATATGATGGAGATTTTTTTACTAAGTCTTATTCGAGATTGTCCTGGAAGATCATGTCAAAAGGTTCTTCATTTGTGTAGAATAATATTTCAAACTTTCTAATAAATCTGTGGTTTTCTTGTAGCATGATTTTCTTTAAATCATTAAATTATGCTTCATGACTTCATGCTTTAAAATGGCCTTTCAATACTGTTCTCTTAAAAACTAGTGCTGATGAGGCAACGCAGATGCTATTTTTGGAAACCTAGAAACAAGTCTAACATTTAAGGCACTAAATTTCATTTTGGCCAGTGTAATGAATAGTATGCTTCATTTGATTGGATCATTGATTTTTATCCCAATTCAATTTTTTTACAGATGGCACTAAACCCTAAAAATATTAAAGTACATGCTATGTTATTTTTAAATGTTATAATAGGATACAGGTATTTTAAAATGTAAAATTGATGCCACATTGATGTTGTATTATAATATTCTGAGATAAAATTGGATGGCTAATGTGGAGAGATAGTACCGCGGACGCCATCTTAGTTGTCATTTGTGAGTTTATTAAAGTTGCCGTGAATTAGGGTTCAGGTTAAGTTTAGGGATACATTTTATTTAGGGTTCAGGTTAGGTTTAGGGATACATTTAGGACATAAGTTTGTGCGTCGCGACAACCAAGATAGCGGCCGTGGTACTATCTCTCCAAATTTACCATTTGGATTAAATCCTGAATGATAAAAGAAAAAAAATCTCATTATTTTTTCCAGCTATTCTACACACCACACAGTGTTTAAAGATTTATACTGATGGTAGAGATAAGTAAAAAATATGTTTGTAAGTTGTGCTTTATCAAGACCATTATCAATGGGTCATAAAATATTTTTGGCTGGTACACAATCACATTGAAACTCAACATTGCTGCAAAAGATAAATGTCAGCTGATTTATTGGAAGATGACCAGCATGTATCAGACATTGGACTAACCGTTACTGTGGTAAGTCAAACTTACTTTTGGACCTATATTAACCCTAAACACAACTTAAGTTATTGAATACAAGACTTTGTTCCAATAGCTCCAAATATTTAAAAAAATTAGACTTCAAACATTTATTTTCAGTCTTTTAAAGATGACAATGATATTGTGGACAGCCAAGAGACAGACACGTCTGAAACAAGACATATATTTACACAAGATGGTCAAGAAGCTTCTAAATGTGATCAAGATTTGATTGAGGATGTTGAAAATTCCAGTGAAGACGAAGATGAGGCGGGTACAACTCAGGAGGAAGATGATGATGAAAGTGTCTCAGAAGATGCTCATTCACCAGAGGCTTCAAGTCCTCCAAAGATAATAAGGAGAGAAAAACCAAAGGTGCGGTGTATTTAAATATATATATTATATTCTTGATTGGACCAGTTGTGTATCAGGTTTAAATTTATCCACAGTAATGTTTGCTTATGCTTGAGAAATATTATGCTGGTGACATGACCAGGCTCTGAACATATTATTGTTATCAGCCAAATGCTACAATTATTGGTGATATGTGGATATTATAATGAATGCTCGGTCAAGATCAGTTGTTGGGACATAGGCACCCCTGATAATTTTCATCCACATTATTTTATTGTGAAGTGGGGCATTAAAGCTGTCTGTACTTTTTTCTGTCTCTGTCACTGACAGGACTTCTGTCCCATATGTCACTCACTATTTAAGACACAATAAGAGATGGAAGATATATGTTTGAATAAGATCAACATATTCTTTAATTTGTTAGATGATCCTATTTTATTCTCACCAAAACAAAATGTCCATTAGTTCAATAAGCATTGCTATAAAAATATATATATACATAATTTCATGACTTATAAGCAAAATTATGCAGGTTTCCAATGGTTATAGAAATGTGCATTTCATCATTTAAGTTTTAACACTTATTAAGACTCTTCAATATAATCAAACTCTTTAATAATCAAACTACATCTATGAATTTAAACAAATATTTCGGAAGTTCTTTTTCATTGTTTATCTCTTACAGTTTTATTGACTTACATTTGAAATTTTTGAATATACTATTTTATGAAACAAGTACTCTCTAAGGCAAAATAAAAAAGGATAAGAGAAGCTGGAAAAGACTTTTTCTCTTCTCCGCAGGAAAAAAAGTATGGTAAATACACCTCTGAGGCATTGGCCGCCGCCTGGTCAGCCATTAATAATGACTCCCTGTCTGTGCACATGGCTTCTCTAATCTACAAGATTCCCAAGTCTACCTTATATGATCGGGTCAATAACAGAAATGTCTTTCACCTCGGTGGGAAGCCCAATGCCCAAAAGACAAAGTTCATTGACCCAGACACAGAGAGACAGATGGTTGAACACATCAGATTGCTCAAATCAACCGGGTACAAAATTTCCAAAAATGAAATTTTGTCACTGGCCACAAAATTGTCCAACGCCACTGGTCACCTGGTGAAAAATAAAAAGCTTACTCGAGGCTGGCTTGGCAGTTTTATGGAGAGATGGCCAAACCTACGTTCACAATTGCAGCAGACTGAAGGAATGGAGAGACCTCCAAATGTCACAGCTTATTACGACAGGCTCAAGTTTCTCATGAACACACGCAATCAGTCATTCCACAAAAAGCCTCATTTAATATTTAACATGGATGAAATAGCTGTTACCACAGACAAACATCAAAACCAAGATCAGTTAGTGCCACATGTGAAAAGTCGAGCCGACGTGAAACCAAATGACGATGTGTTGTTTAGTGTTATCATCTGTGGCAGTGCATTAGGCCATGTCCTTTCTCCCTTCTTCATCTTCAGAAACACTAAGCCTAAAGGAAAAATAAATGATGATATTTTCTTAACAACTTCAGCTACCGGCCTCATGGATGGTTCCATGTTTGCTACTTTCCTTGAGGACCATTTTATAGAACACATCTGCATTGGTTTACCAGACCGAGTTCTTCTCCTGCATGAGCAGGGTGCAGAATACATGGATGAAAAATGTACAGAATGGGCAAGGGAACGAAGGGTCATTCTTTTTCCTTACCCTCCTCATGTCTATTTCTCTAGTCAGCCTCTTAAGTTTGGGTGTGTTGAGGCTATCAATATCACATTCAACAAAGCCTGGTCACAACAAAATAGTCAGAAGGACATTAAATTCCTGTTTCAGCTCATGCTGAACATTCTTGAGAAATCTGTCAGTGTCCAAGCTTTGAGAGATATGTTTGAAAGAGCAGGAATCTTCCCTTATGACACATCAAAATTAACTAAGGAGCATCTTCTGCCATGTACATATCAATCTGAGTCTAGGGATTCAGAATTGGGGAAAAGATCTTTGGTAAAGAGAAAGAAAAGGAAAATGTATGAAGTAGTGCAGGATCATTGTTGTGTTTGTTTGAAATCTGAACCACCCTCAAGTTCTGGTTTTTGTCCCGAGGAAAGCCTTTTATTTTGGGGTCAGTGTTCCAGGTGTGACCACTGGGTCCACTTAAAATACTGCTCTCCAGTAAGAGCACTACATGCTAAAAGTGTATTTTTATGTACACATTGTACAGGTATTTAAAAATTAATATATTCACTAATAAAAATGACTTGGCACTTAGTGGATGGAGTGCACCTAAATTAAATTCTTGGAAGATTAATTCTTTCTTTTTTTTTTGTTGTTGTTCCTTTTATATTTGAGGGCCCGCGATCACTTTATTGATCATTTCTGGCTCCTGGTTTGAATTCAGAGTTTGCATTCTCTTAGATGAGTTGCCGTCCAAGGCCAACGAGTCCCATCCAACCTGGGTGCATGGATGTTGGCTTTGGTGGGGACTGAACTCCAGAAGTGAGCTATGGTTTGAGCCAGTTAAGACCACTTGGCCACCCAGCACCCAATGCTTTATTGGTCCATTGTTGATTGGTTCTAGCCAACACATTCAATGTTTTTTAAACCTAAAATATACTCTAACATAGTTTGAGCATTAAATATAGGCCTACATTTTTAACCCCAAAAATGTTTCTTTTATTTGTTATATATATATAGCCAGCCATCTTCAAATACCATTTGTGTGGAAAGTATACAATTGCAAACATGCTTTTTTTTTCAAGCATTTTACAAAATTAAAAAGCATTTTTACAAAGTTATGTAAGTTTAAGAAATATCAATTCATTGGTTTAAAATATTTATTTTAAAAAAAAAATTAAAAAATTATTTGATATTATTAGAGGTTAAGCCTTAGACTTGTCAATTTAATAAAATATTTATTATTTAAAAAAAGAAATTCTTAACAATAACGCGCATTTACAAGGATCCTACTAAGATCACTATTTTAAATTGTTTTTATTAATTTTATTTTAAATTTGTCAATTGTTTTTATTGCTATTAATGAAATAATGACTTTTTTAATTTAAGCCACACATTTTAAAATTAATTTAACATGCATGCAATTAGCATCTTGCATTTATATTAGTCATGATGGTTGATATTATGTTTGCAGAGCACACTTTTCCCTGATTTAAAACTAATTTGTATTTAACTACCGGTATGCATTTATTTTTTACTATACTTTGTCCAACATTTCTATAGTAGACTGGCTAAATGGGAACATTCCAGTTTGCATAAATTTATATGTTATAAATTATATATTTTACAGTTTTATGATGAAAGCGCCTGTAAATCTTTTGTAGACCATAATTTTTTATATTGATATTGTATAGTAAAACGGTATGTTGGTTAGCGGAGTTAATTTTGTAACTGAACTTTGAGAAACACCTTGTAAAACCTACAACTACAAGTATTGTCCACTTTTTTTTTAGTGGATAAGATAATAGATGGCATTCTAATTCTATATTGCAGTACTTTATTATACCCCCCTCCCCCCAAATTTTTTTTAAAGATTTATTTTTTCATATTTTGTTTACACAGAAAATTAGAAAAATAACAGTCGGAAGATACAACAAATATTCACCTGAAGACTTAAGGAGTGCCTATGAAGCAATCAAGTTTCAGTGTTTATCTGTCAATGCTGCGTCTGTGCAGTTTGGTATTCCGAAGTCCACCCTTTATGATCGCCTCAATGAGCGCAGTTCCTACAACTTAAGGGGGCGGCCAAACCGTTTAAAATCCAAAATTTTGGATGAGCGCACCGAGCAGCAAATGGTGGAACATATTCAACACATGGAGTCAGTTGGTCAGCGGCTAAATCAGTCAGGTATCTTGGCATTAGCCACCAAACTTGCTCATTCTTCCGGCACGATTGCAGAGGGTAGAAGCATAAGTCGCAGCTGGTATAAAGCATTTCTTGGTAGATGGCCAAACGTAAAGGACGTGCCTGACCCTATACCCAAACCTCAACCAGAAATACCTAATTATAAACAACCAAAATCAAGAGAAGAGTTTTGCCTGGTCATCAAATCTGTCATAGACAAGTTGAAGCTGCATACAAAGCCTCACTTGATTTATAAAGTAGATGAGTTTCTCATAAATGTTGACAAAAAATCTTCATCTTGTATTCCGTATGCAGAGTCAAGGTCTCAGGCTCTAGACACTACCACAGTTGTGTCTAGTGTGCTCCTGTGTGCCAATGCCATTGGATTGAGCTTACCCCCTTATTTTATAACAAAAAAGAAAAAAAAGCTAAACTTTCTGTCTGGAGGAATGGACGGCAGCTCTGTTAAAGCATCGGAAACAGGCCTTGTGTCTACTTCCGTTTTAAAAGACTTTTTAAAGGAACACTTCCTGCCAAATGCAGGAAAAAAAGATGAGGACCAAGTTCTTCTACTGTACGGAGACCAGGCCAACATAGTAACACCTGCCATGGCTGAGATGACTCGTGGCCTTGGAATAGTACTTTATACCCTACCAGAATTCACTCATTCATGTAAATTAGATTATTTTTATCCAATTAGACATGCACTCAGGAAGACTTGTGCTGATTTTCTTGAGGGCAGACAAAGCATAACTTCTTCAGACTTGCCCCATTTAATGTATTTAGCTATAGTGAAGGCAATGACAGTGAAGAACATTAAATCTTCATTTCTCCGTGCAGGCATCTACCCTGTAGATGAAGCTATTAAAGTTAAAGGAATGAAAAACAGTAAAAATTGTCCTGATGCCGAGCCAGGGAAAAGGTGTAGAGAAACAAAAAGTAGTTGTGGTAGAAAAAAGTGCAGGCTCACTTAGACTTCATAATTAATAAATTATATTATATACCGGTATGTAAAGGTAAGTTTTAAAATTCAACTGGTGGTATTGATGCTTTCTGACACAGCTGCATACAACTTTTTTCTTTGAGGCAGCATACAGATTAAATATGCATATTATTTTTGTGTTCAAAGCCTCATCTTCATTTTTAGTAAAGGAAATATAAAATAATGCTTGAAAATGTTCATTTCAAAAATAAAATGCAATACCGTAACAAAAATATATGAATGTTTGCATAACCCAATGCAATTAAATAAATAATATGGCATCTCTATTATGGGGTTTATTTTTTTCATGTGGTCAATAATATGGTGCCAATCATTTGATTTCAATCATCCCACTCAATTATTATCACAAAATAAAGATGTTACGCAACTCAAACATCTCCAAGAATTTAACTTACGTGTTATGCTGTCTAACATTTCAGACTAATATTTAATATTATCACCACCAAAATCATTAGCACCACATATTATATTTATATATGCCTCATTCATTAGAAAACAAAAACAAGTGAACATTGATAGTGGAATGTATTTGAAATTATTTCAAATAAAATTAAAATCAATATTACAGCAATAGCCAGTTTTAAATTGACCAAGAAATAGGATGACAATAACTACCCGTAAAAAAAAAGTTACTTAAAATGTCTTTTCTGCAAAACATTTTAACATTTCCAAATTTTAAAAAAAGTACGGTTTTAAATTTAATACAAAGATAAAATATGACGAGATTTAAATTTTAGGAAAAAAAAAAAATTATAATCTAAAGTTAAGCCTTATTATTTTTACAAAAGACAACATTGTTAAATATTTTTATCAATCGCTACGGTACCGGTACGCAAAGTTAATATTTTCCCACTAACGAAAATCTGGCTAAGATGTCTGACAATATGAATATAATAATTTATTTAATCTCTGAGTGTAATAACATAATTTTGACTTATTCTGCAGATTAAAAAAAGGTTCTTTTAAAATTGGGGCTTGCATCATACATAAATGCATATTTTATCCAAGTTTTTTGGTATGTTGCTGTTACAACATGTTTAAAAAAAAATATCTGTAATTAAATTAGACTTGTTCTTTGATTATGCCACTTCCTTTGTTGTATCATCTTCTCTGACATTTAGAACAATTTTCCCCAAATTCTGGTTTGACTCCATCATAGAGTGTGCTGCCGCTATATCTTTTAATGGGAATGACGTCTGGATAATGGGTTGGAAGGATCCGTTTTCAAACAATGGGATGGACAGCTTGGTGAAATCACTGACTAAATTTGCTTTATACTGAATTGAAATATAAAATGGAAATGAACACACTATATGCATTGAGCAGTTAAATAAATATATCAGAAAATAAAACATTAAAATTAGAACTATTCACAACACTGTAATTAACTCTTTCCCTGCAGAACATTGCAGAGTGCGTTTATCCGCCATTCTCAAAAGCACTTACCAACGCGCTCTGCGTCGTTTAAATATCTTGTTTGTTTCTTTCCTATTTCTCGGTTAAAGTTTTTAAGAGCTATTTTTAAATAAGACTATTACATAGAAGAGTGGTACTTAATTGTTTATAAGCGAAACCAAGGTTTATTTGCTGTCATTTGAATCATTATTTTTATGATTTTCTTCCTTATTTTTTCTACTGTTGCTATGGCTAGCCTAGGCCCTAATAGGTGAGTAAGTTTCCTAGACAATTAACAGCCCAAAAAGCTTTGGAATTGTTTTATACAATTTCTTTTGATAGTGAAGATGATTTATATTTAGATCCATCGCATGATTCTGATAATAGTAATTTAGAAGATTTGAGTTATAGAAGTGAAGATGAGGTATACGTAGGCCTACATCATAGGGTTTGGGGGAAAATAGTTTAGCATATAATGTTTTCACATTGTATGGTTCTTTTCTGTACCTTATTTTATTTAAACTGAAGAAATAAGTTCACAAACATATTATAATCCTTTCAATTATCTTTCATTTGATACCAAGTTTAGTCTTATAAACCAAAAAATAATATTTTAAATATCTTTTAATAAACCCAACCTCTCACTCTTGTTTGCTCTTCGAAAAATAATGTAAATTTTTCAATTAATAAATTCCGCAGCGAAAGAGTTAAGTGGTTTAAAAATAAGCATCACAAAATCTTTTAGCATAGAATTCTCCTTATCAGTATAAGAACCTCAAAATATTTCTGTCCTTGAACTCTATGCTGAATTCTGATTGGTCAAAATGAATTTTCAGAAAATGGCTTCTGATGTAGACAGAAGTGAATGAAGTTTTCACTGTATTATTACGTAGGATAATCAATACAGCCTATGCTCACAAAGCTTTTTAAGTCTGCATTTCTTACATTTGTGTTTCCCTGATATTGTTATTCTTCTGCACATAAATTTAAATTGTAATTAAATATGCAGATCACTTCAAAAGATTTATAAATAAAAAAAGTGGGGTGTATAGGGCAACAAAAATGCTCACCTGAATAGATCTGAAGCGCAGAGTTGTGAAGAGCAGACTGATTCGCTTTGCCAAAAGCTTGCTCATGTCTGCGTTGACCTGTAAACCACCTGCACAAGAACAATATATATTCTACTAATGTAGCACTCTTAGTTTTTTTTTCTTGCTAAAAATCAATATATTTCGATTAACCATAAATTACCTTTTGCTGCCTTAAACTAAAACAAAATTTCGATTCAAAACTATGGTGCAATTTGACTGCAATGCGGTTAAAGTTTTTAATTGCATAATATAATGTTAATCTAGAGTACTGCTATACTTTGCATCTATTATTATCATATAAAAATGGCCAATTAAGTTAATAATAACAAGCCTCTGATACCAGTACTTATCATTGCTAAAAACTAACCCAAAGATCCATAAATAATCCATCTGCCATCCAGTCTTATGGCCTTGAGGTTTTCCTCATACATTGTTGCTCCTACACAGTCCAAAATCAAAGTGACACCTTGACCTGGAAGTACAACACCATAGTCTGAAGTGATTTATCAATGTTTCATAAATTAGATTAACTTCTAAACATGAACTGTTATGTCAAATGTGCTGAGAAATATTAATAATTAATAATCAACAAAGAAGGATTTAAAAAAAACAACTTCATTAAATCATTAAATGAGACTTTTACTTAACTGGTGCCCTAGCAAAATAATATGTCTAAAAACTCACCATTTGTTATTTCCAACACCTTCTCTCCCACATTTTCCACTTTGTAGTTTATCCCGCCTTTTGCCCCAAGTGACTTGGCAAAGTCAATCTTGTCCTGGCTGCCAGCTGTCACAATAGGAACTGCACCAGCTTGTTTGACCAGCTGAATCGCTGCAGTTCCAACTCCACTGCCTCCAGCATGAATCAAAACTACATCATCACTCCTCAGTTTGCCTAGAGAAACATAGGAAAACAAAGATAAAACCATTTTTAATTTAAGTTAAAATAATCCCCAATCACTTGAAATTTTAAACTGTTACTGTAAAAATAATAATGGTACACAATCATAATATAATTAAAATAATGTTAAAATATGATAAATAAAGATAATTGACCTTTGTGGTAAACTGTACATTTTCAAATTTTAATTGATGCAGGTAAACTTAAGTTTTCATGTTCAATTTATTTGTTAGTCTCTTTATCATCAAAATAATAAAAAAATGCCCACCGATTGTGTATAGAAGCTGGAATGCTGTGATCCAGACTTCTGGAATAGCTGTGGCTTGTAACAAGGTCAAGCCCTTTGGCACTGGCATAACCTGCTCATATCTACATGTCACGAACTCAGCATTACCTCCACCTGAACAATTATTTAAAAATGTACTTAAGGGTAGAGACTGCTATCAGATTAGGTAGAGTAGAATGAAATAAGTGAAACAGGGTTATAGGAAAAACCTGAAAAGGGACTCAACAAAACAACAAACATGTCAGCAAGTTCTGAGCAAGAAGCCTTCTTCAGTGAATAAACAAGTGTAAAACTAATCTAACAATTAAAATAAAAACTTGGCTGTAATGTAGTATCCGAGAGGACAGCAAGCCTTGCAGCCAAGTGTTTATTTTGGTAATAATCCCTTTATCCCAAAAGCTTTAATTAAAAAATCTGAAATTGTAGAGGGTAAAGAGTAAAAAAACAAAAACTATCTTCAAATACTTCAAATTGAATGGCTTCCAGGGACATTGAAATTAAGTTATTTTTTAAGAAGACTTTTTTTATTGAGAAAGTTGTGCTTTCAAACATGTATTACAGGAATGTTCCTGGTGCGCTTTTGTTTGGTGTACACATTTTAATTTAGCTTTCTTCTATCTTCACAGAACAGAGTGCTTTAAAAAAAAATATTTGAAATAACATTTCAACAAAAGATCAGCTGTTAAATGAATTTTTTTCTTTAAATACGTGATGTACACAGAAATAAGTATTGGATCTTATTAAGAAACTACAGTTCATTGCATGGTATAAGTGGGGATTGAACATTAGATTAGAATTATCCCAATTATCACAGGGTTGTGCATAAGGGATGCTTTGGCATGTATATGGATTTACAGTCTTGGGAGTTCTTTTATTTATTTTTATTACCAACTTTATATAGCTGATGTGTGGGGAAAAGAGAGTCACAATTTTGTGATTTAGCCCCAAATCAGTATTTAGTAACACCATGCATTGGTAACTAGCTATGATGATGTATTTCAATTTCAACCCAAAGAAAATGCAATTTTACATATGTGTTGTAAATAAAAATATTAATCAATGAAATTATATTTTAAAGTTATAATTGTTTTTGTACCTTATTGGAAACTACGAAAACTGAAAATTGCAAGTGAAGCATTAGTAGGCATAGGCCTACATACTTTTTATTCATTTCATCCCTCAAATTTGCATATATAATATTAGTTGTTCTTTTTGAACTCACAGTTCAATGTTCTTTTTACATTCACAGTCGCAGATTCAACTCATATGATGTTTTAAATGATGACCCTCCAGTCCCAATCCTAAGTTTCTCCAATCCAGAAAGAGGAAAGAAATGTCAAAAATGAATACAGTGAGGCAGTTTCTTAATCCTAAAGACTTTTCAAGATATTTTTCAACTGGATTTGGTGGAAACAGTTGTAAAATGCATCTGCTTTTCATGTACAATGGGACCTTCTAAACCTTCAGTCAACAGGGGTTTGTTGATATTTCAACAGATCAATTTTACAAAATTCTTGGACCTCTAATGTACATGGCAACTGTGAAGTTCCACAGGGTACAAAAATACTGGCTAACTTCAATACTGTAATGTGGAATTGGGGCTAATGCCTTTATGGCCAAAAACAGATTTATTAAAATTATGACATTCTTCAAAGTTTCCAATATTAAAACAGACAATAATAACATAATTTTAAAAAAAATAAAGGGAGGTGTGTAAAGGATAAGAGATAATAAACTTCTAACTGTTTAAGAGAGAGAAAATAAAACACATTCTAATTATAATTGTATGACAAAAAATGGATTTTCTTTTGGGAACAGAACCAAAACTAATGGTGTATTTATTGGTTAGACAACCAATATGTGTGGTTGTGAAAAATTGATAAATGGATATATCACTCTAAGGAAAATAGCACTGAATAACCCTTTTTCCATTTTGTTGATATTGACAACAATAATCTCTTCAGTAGAGTTGATATGATGTAGAAGAACTTAAGTGACCTAATCGCTAACTTCAAATTGATTTCACTGAGGAACTTCTTAGGCATTATGTGGATTAATAATAAAACTGATAATATTCCAAGTGTCTCAAACATAAATAGCACAAAATACAATCAAATACATCCAATTGTTCCTGAATGCAAAGACTTTAAATAAAAGAAATTGTCAAGTGTGCTATTTAGGGATGGAAAAAAAAAAAATCCAAATTGAAAAGTATACTGATATGTTTTGTTGCATGTAAATAATTTTTAACAGGTAAAATAATAATAACCTTTAATTTTTGTGAATACTTCTTCTTCTTCTTCTATATCTTAAGGGCCCACGATCAATTTATTGATCATTTTGGCTCCTATGCATGTAGATGGGATTTGCAATGTAAGACAATGACCACCACTACTCCTTTAATACGTGATCCCCAATGAAGGCTTGAGGCAATAGACACAAATGTGTCTAGTGTTGTCGCCTCAACTGTTCCTTTTGAAAGATGGTTCCAGTCCCTGATTGCCTTGGGCAGGAATCTTGTATATTTTGGTCAAATAATGTTCATTTCTTTATATGACACACAAAAATAAATTTTCTTTCTAAATAAACAGCTTCTATGCAAAAATTCCAGTATTGAAATTGAAGGTTTGGAAACAAACATTTATAAAAACCTTATGCATTTCCCTAAAAATTTATTTATAACAATCATGAAATTTAGACAAGGATCCTAAAAGTAATTGACTCTTTTGTTATATCACATTGTTTTCTTAACAATGAAAAAATTCAAGGATGTTACATGTTAATCCTTAATTTCTAAAGCTTAACTTTAAGTTTAATTACTAAAGATTTATTTAATTTAATTTAAATGCACACATTTTGAATCCATTTAATTTCAATTTATCAACTAAAAAACTTAAACTCTCCAATAATTATTATTCTTATTTGTTTATGGGGTTTACGAAATAGAGATAGACTGACCTGTCAACAATGCCATAACTCTATCACCCACACTGATGTTAGCTGGACAGCCCTGACCAACTTTATCTATTACTCCAGCTGCTTCTAAACCTAATGTTAAAGGTGTTCCTGCTGGTGGGTTATAACGACCCATTCGCTAGAAAAGCAACATTTACATTTATATTAGATAAACAAATTAATAAAAAGCAAGAACCAGATAGGCTTTACTTTGGCAGGTTATGTTATGGTATTCTTAGTCTTAGACCCTTTTTCTGTATAGAAATATTAATTTAAAAAAAATGATGATAAAATAATTCTCTTTAGGTTTATAAAAAGGCAATTTACATTCATTATAATATTAGTGATTCCTACATCATATTATCACAACATTTGATAATAAATTAATAATATGAATAAAATACTGCTGATACTACAGTTGGATACATTACACAAACTGGTGAAAATAGAAATTAAATCAAATTCATTGTTTAGTAGTTATAAGTTAATGAAACATTTTTAATATAAATAGGCCTACAATTGCATTTTAAAATTTTATTAAGTGCAATGGTTCAAATTTATCCTCATAATATTTTCAAAAGATGCATCTTTTGTTTCAAACAGGAAACTTAAAGTGATTCTTAAAATAGATGTGTTCTTTTCCAATATTTTATGAAAATGGTATGTGAAACTTAGCCATTTGGATGGTTATTTCAAACTTCAAAATAGGTGAGTATGAATTTCTTACACAACATTTTATGAGTATGGATCTTGAACCAATTTGATGGTTGTATTAAAGTTGTAATAATAATTTAATAAAGAGAAGAGTTAAATATGCTTGTTATTAATTTTTTTTCAAAAAAGTTTTGATAAGTTTAATCTTTGAGAAACACTGTACTGGTACCTGTAACGTATCGGCTCTGTTTATGGCAGATGCATAAACTTTTATCCTGACTTCAAAATCTCCAGGTTCAGGAATTGGCACTTGTGCAAGGTATAATTTATCAGGCCCGCCTGGTGTATACTGTACGGCCTGCATCTTCATTTGGGATTACAAATAAATGCAGACCTGTTTACCCTGAGACTCTTAAAATCGTACAATATCATCACAAAATTGTTCAACCCGCTATCTTAATAGTAAAAAATTAAACATGTATACACCTCAAAATCGTACATTGAACGCAAAAATCATAAGAGTAAACAGGTCTGTGAATGTACATCTACAAAATAACTGATTCAATTTCAATACATGAACTGTATTATAATTCCTTAAATGATTAGATATACATGGGCCATCCATATATTACGTTACAAGTGTTATAATAATTACAGTAAAAGTGAAAGTTTTATAGCCTTCGAAAAAAAAAAAAAAAGAATTCATGGATTACATAGATTTTTAGGTGACAGTTGGCATCATTTGAAAAGTGAAAGTTTTAAAGCCTTCAAAAAAAAAAAAAAAAAAGAATTCATGGATTACATAGATTTTTAGGTGACAGTTGGCATCATTTGATTATTAGAGATAGACTATAAATAAGCTATATTATATTGACCGTCATAAGTTAGGATAATTGTTGCAGAGTTTATGTATTCATTAGTATAAGTGCACATTCTAAATCAGGTCACCCCCTACCACTTTAAATAAACACTTATGTTTTAAATATCCTTAAATCAACAACCCTGCCTTCCCCTGACCTTCAGACTCAAGAGTGTGCACTTAATATATGACAGCTGAGACTCCGCAGAATGCTGGATCCAAATGTCAAATTGTTTACCATACTTTTCGTTAGAAAGTGCCAGGCGACCCAGATAATTGGTGGTGTAATTGTCTACAATTCTTAATAAATGGAGTTGTCTTGCTTGTAATAACATAATATAAACAAGAACATGGATGGTAGACCGCAAGCGACAGTTCATATGGCAAATAATTTTTGCCAGGAAACATTCAGCAAACTTATGACACAACGCCAAAGGAACTGTATGACAGCATGTATGATGGCATGCTTTGCTCAATACCATCTCATAACTGTCAATGTCCCTTGTCTTTAGTCTGACGTGCTGTTACTTGATAGTTACTCATGGAAATGCTCTCCGTTCAATATAAAATGCATTATACGCATCTGGCATTTTTTGCAAAGTTGAAACACACCATGACCATGGATTGTTTCCAAGCTACTTGTTAGCTTTTCAGTGGTGCTTTGGCCACAAACAGCATGTTTTTGGATAGTAGGTCTACTAGGTATCCTACTTGAAGTTGTTGAGTGACAATTATCCCATGTACCGGTACTTGATAAAAACATTATCAAACATTATTGATATTGACCTGCCCAAGTAACTGCTCATTAATTCATTTTAATAGTGTCAGTGTTGTGAATTTGGGACTGGTGTTCTGATGAACAATGTTCAGAGAGATTCCCTTGACTGGACAGCCCTTATAATTAAAATAAAACGTATATTATGGCCTTTGTCTTTAATCTGTGGTCACTGCTTAGTCAGTGTAGTGTAGTAGTTTTTAGGCATTAACTTTATTGACTTTAATAATATTCGGCATTGTACAACTTTACTGTAGTCTGTAGTGGCTTTTTTAGACATTAATAAATAATATTTTGTATTGGACAATACTATTGGCTAATTCTTAGAGATCATCCCGTGACGTCATTTGCGTGTTTACACTCATTTGTCATTTAGGCTAATGATTTGAGATGCCACGACTTATTTTCCAGGGAGTGACTTCCCTTTGTTTACTTTTACTTAATTATTTTAGGGATCAATTGAGGGTTCAGGTTAGGCATAGTGATCGATTTAGGGTTCAGGTTAGGCAGAGGGCTCGATTTAATTTAGTAATTTAGGGTTTCAGTTTCAGGAAACTAATTTAATTTACAGTACTCAGTTACAGTTATGAGTTACTACATTTTTTCTACATCAACATTACTACATCTACTTCTACAGTCTACATTCATACAGTAGTCAGTAGGTCTAAGTAGTCGTTTTTTTAAACTTACTTTTATTTTACTAGAAATTGGACTTTCTATAAAAGGAGCCAAGCATCAAAATGCAAGATTATGATAACAATTTACAATGACATTACAAGAATGGTGTCTCTCCAATAAGAGGTTAAAGGTCATGAACTCTTAATAAAGGAACTCTTTATTGTAAAGAAAGCACATTGATCAGTTTAGCTCAGAATCAATGTCTCGTAACTCTCGTTATTTATCGAACTCATTATACGCACAGCTTTGCGGCATAGGCATAACAATAACGCTCATCGTTATTCGAAAATTTCGGTCTGCTGATAACGCTCGGCACGCGCAGATTCGCGGCTGGTCACGTAATTTCTGTCTAGGTCCAGATTTAAAGAAAAAGAAGAGAAAGAACGCTTGCAATTTCAGTCTGCTATTGAAAGGATAGCTGATTTATACGAATAGTTATTTTATAGCTGTCACAGTGCGCATAGATAGGCATATAGTCATATTATAGGCATAAATAACATTAACAACGCTTCCCTTTTCTAAATATATAAAATATATTTTAGGGGCGTGAAATTGAAATATTGGCATGGGGGGGGGGGGGGGTGGTTTATGAGTATACAAAAAATTTAAACTTTTTTCAGAGATATATTATGTAAAAATTGAATTTGTAGATGTTTTGTCTTGGCAATAGCAGGTAGCAAGGATCGCAAAATGCCAACCATTATTTTCCCCGTAACATCTTATTACAGTTATTACATTTGGGAAACCAGAAAGTAGACAGGAATTCATTACATTATTTTTCTAATTTAAATGATAAAAAGAAAAATAGGAATACTCGATAGGACATTGTCTAGCTGCATGATTTAGAAAAGTTAGCTTGACAAAAAACGATTGTCTTTTTAGAAAATTTAGTTACATTTTATACACACAAAATCTGAGGTATATTCCGTTTGCAGAATAATTTTTGGGGGGACGTTTCCATGTTTGGAAAATCTTTTATTAGGAATATTTCTTTGCAGGAGTGCGCAATCTTCAAGAGAGAAGTAAGCTTAAGCGCAATATTCATTTGGGAATTCCATTCAATGCCAAAAGTTGTTGTTAAAATAGTGTTGTGTTGATTTTTTTTCAACTTTAATATTGATTAAATCTTCTAATATACCAATATTTTAACAATTATTTTTTAGCAGATAACACACTGAAACATCTTAGTGTAGTTTATCCAGGATTCCCAACTCACAAATAGAAATTATTACCATTTTCAGAATAAAAATATTAAAAATTTACAAGTGATAAAACCCTTGGCATGTAGTTTAAACTAACATTAATGGACAATAATAATTATTAACAAAATATGATATATTTACATTCAGAGCAATGATTTAAGAAAAAATGCTTTATGTGTTAGAAACCATAGTGATATATATTGATACGAAATTTAGTGTTCTTGTAAATATAAAATATTTATCTGTAAATTATGCCTTTTTCTTTTTTTCATCAGGAGAAAGCAGTTGCATAGCCCCAAAGAAACGATAGGTCAACATTAACAGCTGAATTGCAAAAACTAGTTACATTTATTGATGACTTGTTGTCTTTCAATGAAGTGAATCATTTACAGGAGTCAACAGATTTGGACAATCTTAGGCTGAGTCTAATCCCCCTTCTTCAGAACAGTCTCACTGATATATCAGTTGATTTCCAAATATGGACCATGAACGTCCTGTATCTGTTACGCTTGGATCACACTAAGTTTAACAGTAAAATACTGGAGTGTCCTTTTGGTGATCTTGTCTGCCTTAGACGACAGATAGAACGGATCTGGAAAGATAATTTTGATGAGGATGATTGTAAGAACTTAGCCGAAAGCCTACAGTTGCTTGGATTTTATCCATCAGCTTTGCAAGAAATAGAATCTACTGTGCCTGAGTCAATCAAATGGTGTCAGAGCTCACTGTACTGGTCAGTTCGATATTTGAAGTATAAGCTATTCAATGACCCACTGCTGTCTTATGTGCCAAGATATCCTTATCAAGACGAGAAGATTGACGAGTGGTTTAAGGAGATAATTGGAGATTGTGAAGTCAATATGTTTAATTCCTCAATAGGAGACAATCTAGAAATGGTTACAAGGTATGTCTTTTTTTGTTAAATATTAATTTTATTATGGATTTATCTTAATTTTGTCTGTCAGTACTCTATAAATATATGCCTATGCCTTTAAATTTCTTCAAAAGTATGTGTAGATTTTATTAGTTGTTAAGTTATGTTAACTATTAGTATTAGTATTAGCACTGTTATTAATAAGTACATTAACAGCCGACTTGAAAAAGGGTATAAAGCCTCATACTGAATAACCCAATGAAAAATATATAAAACCTTCTATTTCTGCTCATAGTCTCCAGGGATCCCAGTGATTTCTTGTATTTTTTGTGTCCATAGTCAACACTACTTATAAATGATGATTTATTGTTACTGTCTGAGACAAGTTATTAACATAATTTTCCTTGTTGTTCTTTATCCTCAGTTCCTTTTTTGCAGTCAAAGGCTTTCAGTCAAAATGTCCATTTTGTTTCATCTGTCTTTTGGTTTTCTCATGCCATTGTGCCATATTTAAATATCTTCTTGCTTTCTGGATTATTCTTCGTTGGCCAATTTGTTCATAGTGGTGCTTATTTACAAATTCTTTCCATTTATCTATATTCTGAGCAATTTTTTTCCAGTCTATTTCACTCCTTGTCATTCTCATTATCTCTGTTTATATCCTTGCTGAAAGTTTTTTTATGGCCTTTCTCTCATTTTGTTACTCTGTGGCTTTTGTGACATAAACTGACTAGTAATATGATTTCTTGAGTGTCAACACAATAGTGCATAACACTAATAACAGTAGTGTCTTGTTTGGTGTTGATTTTTTTTTTCTTGTTAGCTGGGCTTTGAACTCCGTCAGCTACCTCACACTTAATTCTATGATACAGGACGCTAATTTTTAAGATAACTATATATTTTGTAATAACATTAATTGTTGAAATCAAATGAAACCTAATTTATTATGTTGTTCTCTAAAATTCAATTAATGGGCTGTAATTCCCAGTCTCATTACCTTCAGTTTCTTGCTGTTGATATTTAACTTTAGCATTTTTGCTATTAAGTTTCAAATTTATTGTTATATCTGGACTGTGGAAAAGTACCTCCAGCGCTCTCAAGTTAATTATATCTAATTAAAATTATTTGTACTAAAAGTAAGTCAGGGTTTTAAACAATTTTTGAGTGAAGAGCCATTTTATAAACTATATCTGCTAAGAAAATATTTAGAAAGCCGCAACCAAAAGCTGTTTGGGAGAGGGAATTTGCACATGATTCCTGGAGTAAACTTTTACTCATGAGTCATGATACTTTGTAAAACAAATAGAGCCTAGAAATTAGACAGATTGGAAAATGAGTATTTAGGGGCAGAGTTCATAAGCTTGAATATGTGCATAAAAACTTAAAAATTTTTCTGCAAATGTGAATTTTCAAGTTTACAGTAAAACTGCATCACAATGTTCATTTATGAATCTTATACGGGTACCAGGTTTTTGTTTGATAACATTTGATTATAGATTATAATGGCTAGCAATTTCAAAGTCTGTATCTTGATCTTTTTTAAAACAGTTAATCATATATATATATATATATAAATTTAATTAAATCAAGTTTTAATGTAACCAACACTTTAACAGCTTGTCTAAACCACTTGCCTCATATTTAATTCTGTTTAAGTCCAGTTTTTCTGTAACACAAGCTGATTAATAAATTGTTATACAAATAGTGGAACACTCACTATTAAACTAAAATCTTGGAAGACGCAAGATGAAGAGAACTTACTTCGAAATTAAAAAAAACAAAAATTATTTATTTATTTATTATCATTGTAAATCGAAATGTGTTCAATATTTTAAAAGTGGTTACTATATCATCATTTTTTTAATATGATTGGCAGTAAATTAAATTATGCAATACACATGTAGCCATTTATGAATGCAATTTACTTTTCCTATGGCACTATAAATTATAAATATAATTACATAAATGCATTTTCAATATGTGCAGTTTTTGTTCTTTAACCAAGAGATATGATGTGGTTTCACTCGCATTTGTTGAGGTGTTGTATGAAGGATACGCTGGCAGTGTTTTAGTCAGCAGATTCCCACTCTCCATGCAGCTGGTAAACCCTAGGGGGTATAAAATGGATAGAAAGGACCCAGGGGTGTCACGGTTGTTTCAATATTGTCATTGAGTACATTGTCATACTACCACTACTAGCTACAAAACTTCATCACCTGATTATTGTGATGGTGGTTTACTCATCTAGCCTTTAACTTTAACCATGGGGCTTCTAGCCACAAGGAAGGGGAGGTTTGCAACTGAAGTCAGAGTTTTTACTTCTCTTACATAATCCATCAGTAATTCATCATTTGACATACGTAATTCCTCTACCCTCAGGTCTCTGATTTTTTTTCTGAAATGACATTTCAGGGAAATAAAAATATATATTCCAATGGTATCATATATGTCAAGATTTTTCAAACTTATCATTTTAAATCTCTTATGTAATTGGATGATAGCTGTTTGTAGTAATTTTTATTAATAATGATTTCTGTATTTAAATTGAAGTTATTTTTTAAACTTTGAAATTCAATAAATCTATTTTAATTGATTATAGTGTTGTTACTATTTATCTTGCTTCTATAGAAAATGCTATAGAATCTATTATCCAACTTGCCCCTACATATTTTATTAAAAAATTATTATTTTACGAGCCATCCCAAAATTACATAACAGTTACCCACTGAGAAGGGGGGGGGGGCTTGTTTTTTATTATGGAGTGTGTGCACTGTGTGTAAGTGTGCCTGTGGTCTGGGGGAGGATGGGGAGGCCAAATGTGTAAGACCATTTATGCATAAAATCTGTAATTATTTGTAAATTCTTAGTTCTTAATTAGCATATTTATGTCTACCACATAAAGCTAAAGAGTGATTATGTGTTTGTATTTTCGTGGGGTCCCTATCTTTGTGATGATCAAATGGCACCTTAGAACGGGTCTCCACTGGTGCAACTATTTTTAACTTTAATGAAAAACTTCAAGAGTTAGGACATTTTATTTCTAGATGTTTTAGCATTGAAATAATGATTAGAATATGATTTCATATTTTACAATTCATATTTTACAAGTCATTTAAAAAAATAATCTTTCTTAATTTCTACCTAACTTCATTAAATTTGATTATTTTAAAGAAGGCTTTTAAAGTTATATAAATGTCCTTTTTATGTTTCTATAAAATAAAGTCCCAACGATTTTCCTTAAATGTTATTAAATTAGATTTAAAATATTTTTGAAGTTTCCAGAAAGTTCCAAATGAGTGTAGAAGGTGTTTTTTTTTCTATTTGAAATAAAATACTTCTTTTGAGTTTTCAACATTAATGGTAAAATATTTTAAATATAATGTGTTGGCTATCCATTTGGGATGGGGATCCTATTTTATTTTAATTCATCTTTTAAAAGTTGATTTGTCTTTAAATCACATTTCTTGGCTGTGCTCAGCTTGAACTTCAATATCAACTGAAATGGGATTGGCCCCCAAATCTAATGTTTACAACTAAGAGCTATTATAAATCTTGCTTTTTCAAGGACAATTCTTATTTTAAAACTGGTCCGTAAATGAAGTGTTTTTGACAGTGCTATCTAAATTACAAACAGCAAAATGTACACCTGTCAACTATTAAAACAACGTGCCAGCTGGCAAACAGCAGTGTATGAAGGAGTCAAAAAAATAACAGCAGTGTATAAAGGAGTCAAAAAAGGCAGAAGATGCGCAAAATGAGGCCCTTGCAACAAAGCAACAAGGAAGGCCTAATCTAAACAGGAGTCAATATTCTCCTGCGAGAAATGAAGTTGAGATTGCTATTCCAGCATTGGCATAGTGAGCCATTCGTTGAAGTGTACACTCCGTCTCGTGAAGACGGATGGATGCCATATATACTACTGGTACTACAGCTATTAAACTAGAGCGGTGGCTTACAACTTTTATCACTTATGTATTAAGGGCCATAAGCAAACTAGGCACCAGGGTTGCCGACTGTCCGCAACTTTGACGAACGGTATGCAAAAATTTAACCTAAAAATACTTGACAGTAAGAGTTTTGGGATTTCCTTAATGTCACACATTCAACATTTTCAGGTGCCTGGGTGGGGTGTGAGGCAAAAAATATTGGGAAACACCATTAAATAGCATCAGATTTTCATTTATTAAATTAAGAGTAAAAATTAATTTCAGGCTTTCGCATCCTTTTGCATTAATCTTAGTATACATCACAAATTTTGGAAATAAAAATCACATGAACTGCATAGTTAAACACCATAAACCAGAAATTCATTGTCTTTATATCCAACATACAAGAAGACAACCAGGAACATACGATTTGCATTAATAATAATGGGAATGTTACATTCATTATGAATAATTAATCATTTTGATTTTAATTATTATGCTAACTGTTCAAAATCATATAACATTTATTATTTCATAATAAAAACTTTTAAAATTATTAACTGTGAAGTGGAAGTATCAACACACAACAAAGCCTGGATGAACCAACCAGTTTCTGTACATGTATTTCTCCTAGTGAATTACATGGAACAAATATAAGAGGAGATAAGATTCTTTATTGATACTGATAAATGGACATGTTTTTTTTAATTACACTGTACTATTGTAAATATTCATTTTCACAATTTTCAGCACATAAACAAAAGCCTATTATTAACCAACACATTTTACAATTTAAACATAAGACATCGAACGTATTTCTCTAGCATAGAAATCAGCCATAAATAGTGACAATAATGACTTAATTTGCAAACCGTTGGAGGAGCATCCTGGTAAATTTGTACTGACTTGGGAACAAAAGAATTTTTATATCTTTCTGTCCTTACTTTAAGTTTAAGTTATGAGAAAGGAATTCACCCTGATCGAGCTGATCTTAGGTTTCTGTGATGATGTGAGTGGGATGTATCATCCAGCATTTTTGTTCAAAAAGTTCAAGTAAAGGAAAATGCTGTTTTAAAACTAAAAAATAATTACGGATGAAATAAGCTACAATAACTTGAAACTTATGCAATTTGGTGTGCCTAAATATTTAATCACCAGTATATAATTTAAAACTTCATGTTGCACCTCTTTAATGCTTCAGTTATGCCATGGCACACCAGTTTTATTGGAGAAAGAAAAAAAACCATTAAGCTCAAATAGAATTAGTAAAACAGAGTAGGGTTAAACCTGAAAAAATAAACGCAACAAAACAGCGAACATGTTGCGTTTATTTTTTCAGGTTTAACCCTACTCTGTTTTACTCATTTTATTTTGTACTAACCTGATTGCAGTCTCTCCTCTTATTACAAGCTCAAATAGATCTTAGAATCTAAATTAGATTATGTTTATATTTATAGAGGATAATCTAAACTCTTTATATATTTGAAGTAAAGCATACAAATGATTTTAAAAATGCTGATAGATTTTACCTCTATTTCCAGATTTTCTTTTTCATATGAGCTAGTAATTTGTATAGTGTTCAATGCAAGTGGAAATTTGGAAAACTTACGTCATTGAGGAAAGTAATGGTATAGAAGAAGAAGCCTAATTAAACTAAATTTAGCCATTCTGTATGTTTCAATATTCTCACAAATACATTAAATTTAATAGCTAAAAACATTTTTACAGAAGATTTAAATATTGTAAACTGAAATACATTTTTCAGCCAATGTTGAAAATAATTAATTTAAATGTTTGTCAAATGATTACCACTTTAAATGAGCAGATGGGACCAGACAGCAACTGCAGCAACTATTCATGAAGTTTTAAACAAGTGTTCAGGATTAGAATCAAGAAATTTGTAAGGCATAAGTAAACACATTATCGTTTTAAAAAAATGGATTTTTATAACTCTTTGAATAAATGTAAACATTGGTTAGTATAATTAATGTTATTAATTATTAACAGTAACATCACATACTTTTTACATTACTCAAAGAAAACAAAACTCATAATTTATCATATTAGTTCTCCACAAAAAAAAAAGGAAAATAAACAAACATGACATCAAATAAGATAATTTTTTTAATACCCGGTAGTTGGAATGGGGATCCTATTTTATTTTAATTGATAAATAAAAATCATATCAAATAAAAATGAAACCTGCAACAATTTTAATTTACTCTTAACTAAAGAAAAGGACTTCACAATATTCAACCTATAAGATTGGCCCACATGACTCTAGATGAAAAAAGGTGGATGCTGAAATACCTCAAAATTTAAAAAAAAAATCCTCATTTGTTAACTTAAAATTTTAAAAAAATAATTATCTTATGAAATTATCAATACCCGTACATAAAACATCTTAAATTTGCTAATTAACATTAAAATTAAATAATAAATTCAAATCAATCATATTTATTTTGTAGCTCTTTTCAGTCTTTCAACAGACAGAAATTTATTTAAAGCAAGCATTTGGTATTGTCTTTTTTCATTCCTAATAATCAATTGATAGTTATTATAGTCGTCATAGTTCTCAGATGTCAGTAATGGCAACCCTAACATTATCAGCTGAAGTATCAATCTTGTTTTCAGCATACTACACAAAATTCTGCAAATCTTCTTCCAAATTTGATTCACATTCTCCCTCTTCAACTTCTTCTGCTTCTCTTTGGTGAAAATAGTCAGGTCTTTCTTTCCACAATTCTAATTTGGCCACGAGGGGAAGACCTAAATCACTGATTTCTAAAGTCTTTTGCATGTTGGGTTGTTCACAGTTAACTGTCACATTGATTTTCATACTTTTCTGAAAAAAATGTAAAATATTTTATTTTACTAAGGTATTTTAACTTAAAATAAATTTTATGTAATTAATGTAATAGTTGATGAAAAAAAAAATTAAAAGAAATCAAATATTAGATCCAACATTCACCTAAATCCAGTTTTCTTATCCTTATGATTACCTCTGCTTTAACAAATCCTGTAACAGTAAATCTCTCTTTTACAACACATTTGTTCATTATATAAAAAATATTGAAGTCAGCATTGTTCTAAAAAAAAGTTTATGGAGTATCTTTTATCATAAAGCAAACTGATTAACCTATGATTCAGTCCCTTGAATGAATTGTTAAATGGAAAATGCTAACATTTCACTCAAAAGCATTCTTTAACTGTTAAACTAGTGTTAAGTAAAGAAAGCAAGTATAGGAAATGACTCCATGAGTCTTAATTGAATTAATTTGGACAAATATTTTTAGTTAATAGGTGAGTTGTTCATCATCATCAATGTTACTACTCCCTCATGAAGCCCCAGGCCTACTGCAGACAGATCCTTGACATTTCATTCAAGCTTGGAACCCAACTGATGTTAAATCCTGTCTACAACAACATTCCACTTCAGTCTTGGTCAAGAGGTGAGCCATCTGCCACTTGGATTCTGACTGTGTAGCACTTAAGCTCCTCTATAATCTGGCATCGTCTTGAGGGGTCCTGTCCAATGCAGTCTACATTTTTTTAAAATTATCCTGGCTATGCTTGGGTCTTATACAACTGGTAAATTTCTTTTTTTTTTAAAAATCTCCATTCATCATTATCCCCTAAAGGCCCATATATATATATATATATATATATATATATATATATCTTTCTGAGGATCTTCCTCCCCCAGTTAACTATTTTAATGAGAAGGTTTTCAACTTTCTTGATGAGGGTCAATGTCGCACTTGCATACATCAATACTGGTAGCATAATGGTTATTAAGGTAAATATTTTTCTTTGTATCTCTTGAAAGGCTTCTGCTTCCTAGTAGCTTTCGTAGACTAAAACATGACTGGTTCCCTGCTAGATCCTTTCTTCACATCTGTCATTATTTCATTGAGCTCCTAGGGATTTGAATGTATTTACTCTCTCAAAGTTTTTGTTTTGTTTGTTGTTGGTATCATTTGTATGTCTGTCACGTGACATTACGATTTACTTGGTCTTTCTTTATCCACCTCTAATCCAGCTTCAACTAGGCATCTTCAAAATTTAAAGGATTTCATAGCTATTTCTGCCCTGTATATGCCAGGTACTGCAAGGGCTGTATAATAATTCACCAAATGGTTGTGGTTCCATAAGGTTACTTTGGACATAGTTTGTCCTTGTTACGCTGGTGCTCACATGCAGTTTTCGCACATCTTTTTCTAATGAGATATTAAACAAGATACATGATAGTATCATTGATAGTGAGTCTACTTGTCAGAGACCCCATCAAGACCCAATGGAACTCCAAGTACTCTCCATGTATTTTTTAATGCCATGTTATGTATATTTCGGGTTATTTATTTAATTGGGGCCTCCAAGTTCCTGTAGAGCATTATACTGTCTGCAGTATCATAAGCTTTTCTGTATCCCAAGTAAAGTGGGTACTTTGAGATATTCTATTCTTAAAATTTCTCGAGGCATCTGACAGTGAAGATAAGATCTATGTGATATTTTTATATTTTTGTTTTTTGATGATTTATTTTCAGCCTCGTTCTTTTCCCAGACTCGTTCAAAGCTCTGTGATATTCTCTTTTATGTCTTGTACTCTGTGAGACAGTATGGCTGTCATCTTCTCTTGCATGTCTTGTACTTGCAGTCTGTGAGATAGTATGGCTATGTGATCTTCTCTTGTATGTCTTGTATTCTAGGAGATAGTATGGCTATGTGATCTGCTCTTGTATGTCTTGTTGTCTGTGAGATATTAAGGCTATGTGATTTTCTCTTGCATGTCTTTTAGTCTGTGAGATAGTATGGCTATATCTTCTGCAAATTCTAAGTCTTCTAATTCAAGTCTTTTGTGTTAGAGTCCACTGGATCCCTTTTCCTGAATTTGTGTATGCTTCTTTTGTGACCCTATCTAGTACTAGGAGGAACTGAGTGACGAAAGAAGAAATCCTTGCTTTTCTCCAGTTGTAACATGAAATTCTTTGGACAGTCTGCAGCTATGTACTACACTGGGCAGAGAGTGCTGGGTGGCCGAGTGGTTTAAACTGAGGTAATCTCAAGTTAGTGGACTGGAGTTCAATCCCCAGCCAAAGCAAAATCATCACCAGTTTATCTGGGTGGATGGGACTTGTTAACCTTGGATGGCAACTCATCTAAGTGATGAAATCAAATCTGGAAATGGAGTGCCATGGGCGGTATGATATTGACACAATTCCAACAACTCTAGTGATATGGAATGCATAAAGAGCACAGTGAAACACACAAGACATACAGCTGGTCATCCTGGTATATTTCCGGTTGCCCTAACTAAGTTTTGGATTATATAGTCAAGGACAAGAGAGTGATCATAAAGTGTTCATAAAGGATTTTGATGATGGCTATTAATTTCATTGGAATTTCATAGTGCCTCAAAATTGGCTAGATACTTTTTTTCTGTCAAAGGCCATTTGACAAATGTGACATAGAGAGGAGAGTCTCAACTAATCTTGTTTTACTATGTTCAAGTCCTAAGCCAACAAGAATGATAACAGTGAAATTATAACAAAAATTATTTAGCGTAAATCTTTGAAGTAGCCAAAAATAATTATTAATGAACAAAAAATATTGCTTAAATTAAATCCTAAGAATTTTTGAAAATTCAAAAGCTACTATTTTTAGAACACACTAACCTTCAAACGTTGAATATTGTGAATTACAACAAAATTTTTTGAAAGGTTGCCATCTTTGCCTTGAGTAATTGTTCTCACTTTTGCTTTTTCTGCAACATCCTTAGATTTATTAGAAAGAAAAGAATGAAAACCATAATTATCTTTCCAAGTAGAACTCTACTAATAGGATTTCTTTATGCTCATAAGCAGTTTTTATATTAAATGGTTATTTTTAAAGCACTTGTTATTCCTCAGCATTCTGTGAGTTAAAAAAACAACATTTTTACTTTTGTCATATTAAGATTATTTATTGGTCAATCCTCTTTTGCATTAATTTTTTATCAGATTTGCAAGCAAAAAAAAAAACTACATAAAATCTGCAGTTAAAAGAAAAATGTTAGTTTCTTTTATTTCTTCCACTACAGCTGGAATCTACTAGCTTTCATCAATCTTTATTCCCAAACCACTGCACACTTACCACAGGCACTCCGCTGACATAAGCAACACATTTTTCAGTTGGCCCAGGATCTATAACAGATGTGTAAATCTTGAGTACATTAGAAAACTCCTGCTGGAAATCAAGCCTGACTTTGACAGTGAAGTTATCAAACTTGACATCTAAGTTAATTGAATCTGGTTTCCCTGGAGTGATAAAAATAAATAAAGTGCTTAATTTCAATGAAAGATGTTATAACAAGAAACAAAAATTGTGGTAAATAAAAACAGGTCATGAATGTGATTGCACAGTAATTTAAAATAAGGGAGTTAATATTTTCCTTTTTTGCCAACCTGATTGCAGTCTCTCCCCTTTATTCCCCACTCTTGACACTGATGGCAAATATTTCACATCAGGACATAACAAACAAAGCTCAAACATTAAAAAAAACTTAAACACTTTAAACTTTTGACAATATGAACCTCATAAATATAACATGCTAGTGGTGTTATTTGAAAATATATAAATTTCCCTTAATATTAAAAAATATATTTCTCCAGCTTTTCCTCTTCTCAGAATCAAGTGCTTGTCTTTGTAAAATCCAAAACAGTCTTAATTCATTATAAAATGATAATACTCAGCAGAACAAAATATTTCTAATATGGTCTAAGGCTAATGCAATCAATTTAAAAGATTAAAAATATTTGATTGTAGTAAATTATAGTCTTACTGTGAGCTGTTTCCCAAAGCATTTTCCGGAAATTGTACTCAGATGTTTGGCCCGTGTATACTATTTTATCTGTAAAGGATCGATGAACTTCCAATAAATTTGTTCTTATCTCTGGGATTTGCCTGTAAGACCGTTCATTGCTGGCATTATTCAACTTTGGATCTTTGTGGATAGCTGTAAAATAAAATGCGTACATGTTTTTTTTTAAAATATTGTGCTGTAGTTTGGTACCTACACGTTTTTTTCTCCAAAGTTATTCAAATTGAATTTGGACAATAAATTTTATTTAAAAGAAATAAAATAATTTCTTCAGCAAAGCTTGAAGTTCTTGAATTAAAGAAAGACATTGTAAATTGTCATATCCGGAAATTTGAAAAATTTGTTTGAAATAAATTTCATCGATGGAAAATTGATAGACGGAAGTTTGGTCGAACGGAAACTTGATCGAATTTTATTTTGAGTTCACATGATCAAATTTTGCGTCAAATTTCTTTTTGAATGCATTATTCTGTTTTACTATAATATAGTATAGTGTGTTCAAAAAGAAATTTGAGGAAAATTTGATCATGTAAACTGAAAACAAGATTCAATCGAATTTCCGTTATATCAAACTTCGATAGATCAATTTTCTGATGATGAAATTTATTACAAACAAATTTCCGGTAACGGTAAATTGCATACCTTCTCTGAGCTTTTTGAATACAGTTTCAATGTCTATAGGCAGATATAATATATCCTTCAGATGACTGACTAATATGCCAAAATTCCTTCCTTCATAAGCAGCTAAACCATAAGATCTGAATTTTTAAAAAAAAAGAGGAAAAAAAAAAAAAAAGTAAATAATGATTTATTTTTTTAAAATTGATTAACCAGCTTATTAATTTATTTTGTGTTTTAAATTAACCATGCTCTTCAACATAAAAGAGATCTGAAACCAGTTTTCATGTATGGCACACCATAAGTCTTTTAAAGATTTACTGGGCACATTACAATTAAAAACATTGTCACATTATAAGATGTATAAGCAGGCTTAAATGGGCCACTGCTTTGTAGGTACTCAATGATTCTTCATAAATTCTGGCTACAGTATGCCTTGTAATAATGCATAATTGAGGTTGAGAGATCAGTACTCCTATCACCTAAACAACCTCATCTATAATTGAAATGCTTAAGTGGGGACAAAATGGCTATAGCCTATAGGCCCCAGAGATATCTCCCCTTAAAGCGGTGTCTATATTTACAGTTCTGTTTGAACCAACACAGATCCATTAAAGACAGCTATGCTATAATCATTTCACATATCAAATCCAGATTTATTTGCAGTGTATATTTAATGTACAACTTTTTACAGAATATCTTGAATAATACCAAGTAGCTTACGTTCCATAGCAAACAATAGCATTCCCATTTTCCACTTTATCTTGGGTTAAAATTGCAGGTCTGGTTTCATCTCCATACCTGAAAAATATTGATTAAAAAAGCAGTGCATTAAACAATATGTACATGTATGACTGATTTACAAACTCCAAAAACTAATGAGTGCATCACTATGAAAAGTTTATGAATCTTAAAAGCATCAATAACAGTTTAAAATATTCAGTTTTTTTTTCTTCTTCATTTTTTAAATTAAAATGTAAAACTTAAAACTATTTACTTTGACACTATCATGGTGAACATATTCATGGTGAACATATTCATGGTGAACATATTCATGGTTACATAATCATAAAACATATCTTACGAATTTGAAGAATTTTTGCTTACGATTTCCTACAAATATCCAGAATCATGCAACAAATCTGTGGTTTCCGTTGCAAAAGACTGCTGAATATTTTGTCTGCTGAGATGCAGTCGGTATTTCGATACAGACAAGGTGCATCAATGGGAACTAAGAAGCATTGGTTTGAGATCTCAAAACCATGACCACAAAAATAAAAAACACAGTACACCCCATTTCCAACCAATTTTCTGAACTCAAACACTGATGATAATATCTCAGCTTTGGTTAGGTTCAGTAAAGAAACAACCTGAGGGAAAAATTCAAGAAAATAAGTTTACTGTTTTAGTATTTCTTAATAATTGCCTGACAAATGATAATATATCAAAAACTAGATATGTTTAACTATATTTGTTTATTGCAAATATTCTACAGCAACACATCTCCTGTTTAATTTATTATTCTATTGACATATTCTGTTGCTGTAAATTTAAGAGAATTTTTGGGGGGGCCATCTGTCCATCTGAAGGACGACTGTGTAGTTTTCAATGGTTGAAATCACATGGCCTGGATTTTTTTATGGAGAATTCACTGGTTGCCAGTCTGGAGATCCCTCCTTTCATGCAGCTGGCGAATTCAAAGTAAATGATACAGCATGGTACCAGAGGTGTTGCAGGAGCGAGTCAATGTTATAACTTTTATGGACCTCCATTGCTGGTTTTTCTGTTTTGTTTTTTTCACTAATCTTTTAATCTATGGTTTGCAGCCGCAAGCTAGCAAAGGTTTGCAGAGTTTCATTCTCTCAAATAATTTCCATCCCATCAGAGTGCAGTATTGTTTTAAACTCCATCCAGTGACCCAAGTGTATATTACCAGTATACAATGATAATCAATACTCTTCAGTCAGCTTAGTCGACTGAACAGCATACTGGTCAATCTCCTGAATTTGATGTTAAGAGATTTTGAGACAGAGCTCTAATACTGTAAATCACGTTGAGAACAAATGGACCAGCAGACACTTTAACTTTATAGGGTAGCAATTTATTATTTCTATCATGAGTACGGCAGGATGCAGGCATATTTGACTGCTTTAAGTCCATCATCAAGAAGGCTAGTGACTTTTATGCCTCCCAATAACAGGACTGCCAGTTTACCAAATTTCTTCCCAACATATTGCCCCAGGGTGATTTCACAGATGAACCTACAAATTATTTAAATGATGGAATAAACCTATTCAGTAAAGAATTCTGCAATTACAAAATCACTCCAGACTAGAGTTTGGGTATTTAAATTATGAAAAATAGACATTTTATTTTAAGAAAATTGATTAGTTAATTCAATTGTTATATGTTTAAATTTAAGTTTGTTTAAAAAATGGATATCCTTTTATAAACATTTATAATTTATAGTCTATTTTTAAAAATTAATCAGTTATTTATACAATGTATGAAAGAAATCATATTATTAATTACCCTTTCAAGTATAAATTGAACGATTATAAGCAATGATTATACACTGGGTTTATAGAGTACCTGTACTGCCAGCCACTGAAAACGACGGTTATAACATGTGTCTTGACCTAATTTTACTTTAACGTAGCATTGTGGCGACCACCACTTGTTTGCCCCTTTTTTTTTTTGATATTGATGTCACCGATTAAATGTGTAGTGCTATACCCACCCACCCCTCCCTTGATTGGGAAAAGGCTGTTTATGTTCTATTTGCTCTAAAGAATGCTGTCGAATGATGCAATTTCTAAAAATTATTTTCTAAACCTTCCCCCACTAGACATATTAATAGGGGCCTCACAAGACTGTACTCTTTATGTGTGTGAATATATAAATATTTGTAACTTTCGAGGATTATACTTATTCACTTGCTGTGCTGTAAGTTAATATAGTTTTATTTCTGTCGATTTGATCTTGTATTTTTCTATAAATTTAATAGTATAATTAAAATGAATATTGCTAATATCACTGGCTTTGGTATCGCTTTTCTTTGTATACTGGTTTTCAGTCTTTTTTACGAATTGTTTAACAAGCCAAATCTTAAAACATATCAATTTTACCGTAGCAACTTCTTCCATTTTTCTTTGCATTAAAATTTGTGCTTCTATACATAAACCCTAGTAAACTGACCTTGAAGTTGAGAGACTGAAAAATGCCACACAATGTTTGAACATCATGTCTGGGAGCAGACAGTAATCTGTCACTGCGGTAGTCATAACAACCAATCAAGAGAGCAACTTTGTCTGTGGCTAAAAAAAAAAAAAGAAATTCAATGTCCATTTATTAAGTTTTTATTTTACTTCTCCTGTCAATAGCATTATTTCATTATAAATAAATTAGATAAGTGTTTTGTAACCCTGAAAGCCTTTGAGAATCTATCAGGTTCTGGAAACAAAATTGTTAACATTGTCTAAATGTCCCGTTTGTGTAATTGTAACTAAGGATGTTAAACAATAATGGGATTTCAGATTATTGGTTTTGAAACCAATAACTTGATGTTCCCTAAACTCTTTATGTGCTTATAGTAAGCTTATAAATGAGTCAGAATTTTAAATTTATTTTAAAAAAAATAAAACAAAGATGAATAAGGTTCAACAGCTATTTAACAAAATATTTGACTGCCCTTTAAATTGATATCTGCTGTCGCTTTGTTTTTGCATGTGTGTATCTGCTATAGATATCAATTTACAGTTTTCTTTCACGCAGATTATAATACCAGAGTCAATTAACAGCATTTTAGACCCCAAAAAAAAATTTTGAGATAAAAAGAATTATTTGTATTTATTTCAATTTGTGTTTAGATTCAAAGTCTCGTTCCGAAGGTGGGTGTATGTGTGACTGTGTCTTTGCAAGTGGCTGTGTTGCTGGAATGTCAGATTATGTAATAAGCTCATTTTCATTCTCTAAAATTTGTAATAAATATAGATTCTGCAACATTAAATAACGGCACGGGAAGAAGGGGTGGGGGAGTTAACAAGGCATTAATTTGACATACTTTTCACATTGAAATTTGAAAGTTTAGCTAACTTGCATTTGAACCGAAAGAATAGTTCACTTTTTTACATTCATTAACTACTAAAATGTCATGATTTGGTTAATTATAAAAAAAATATAACTTAATCTGAATATACCTATCTGAAGTGCATTAAAAAAATTGTGATGGTTTAATAATTAATTTTGGGTGTTCCTAATAGCAAACTGGTAAAATGTTTTTTTAGTAAATATGAGATAATTTATTCATACCAGTAACAAAATTGTTTAAAAAAGTGCATACCAGTGTAAATTCTGTCCATTCTGGCATCTGATACTGTTATTTGTAAAAATGCCTCCCGAGTATAAAACTGTTTATCTTGACTTGATATTTGACAGGAATAGCAACCTACTCTTTCATAAGTTTGTACATTGTACAGCCTTAATTCATTGGTCCTGGATCCTTTAGTAAATAAGATATAAATTGATGTAAACAATTTTATTTTAAATAAATGAAATGGATATTATGAAACGACATAATGTAGAGGACAGCGTTTTCAACAATTATTAAATTATTTCAAATTAAAACTTATTTAAAAAAATTAGCACTTTTTAAAATACAAATAATTTACAAATAGAACATAAACAAATATCACCTATTAATATTTGTAGTCCAAACTACATTTTAGCTTTTCCAAATTATATTATTTACATTTTTATTTTGGCAACATTGTGCAGAATTTACAGACCAAATTATAATTTTAACAAAATTTCAATTAAAACATTTCCTAGAAAATGTACTATGAACCAAAAAATAGCTATTTTCAGTTTTTCATCATAGAAGTTTTACAAAATAATTTTTTAAGAAGTTCAGTTAAAAAAAATTACTTCTTCACATTGCATCTCCTGAACTTTTAATATTTTACCCTTCACAGATATACATTAATACCACATTTGCTCTTGTCTTCTAGCTTTGGTGAATCAGGATTTTATGTTACTAGTCAGTTTCAATCAAATATTTGCTGAGGATTATTAAAACCTGCTGCCCTTTGTTTGTTTGGCAGATAATGTTACTATTGCACCACAGAGCTGGCTGTTGTGTATTAAAATTAACTTACTTGATTTTTAAGATACATTTTTCTCTTACACTAGAGCAGTGTTTCCCAAACTAATAAGTTTGACAGACAGGGGAACACATTTAAGAAATGCGACAGACCGAGGACTGATTAATTAATTATAGTTTCTTTTTATTTGACCATTAATATTCATGTTGTGCGCACTGGCAGCGTAAGGCTTGCAGCATGGTGCCGATCCGCAGGCAAACATTTGGGGAATGTTGCACTAGAGCATCAATTAAACTAATGGGGACCTAGTTTTTCAGATAACTGAACAGTCCCATGGAGTAAAGGCTAAATTTTTTCCCACCTAATGTAAGTCTTTAAACTAGGGGTTTTGCCTACAATTGGGAAGTAGCAACAAAAAAAAAAAAAAAAAAAAAAAAAAAAAGATATGTGAACACAGGTACTGGGAAGGTTGTGGCCTATAATCCAGAATGATCTTAGGTTCTGAACAATATGGTATATTAGTTATTAAATTAGCCATTTTATTATCCCAGTCTGGTCATTGCATGTACACCATGAATCTAGAATTTACTTGGATTGTGCGACAGAGATCTAAATTGATGTTCAATGTTTGTATATCAATGCTCCAAGCCATGCACATTGCATAGGATAACAATAATAAAAAAGACAATAGCATTTTGGAAAACTGGCTTCCAGAAAATCAGTGCTCTACAGCATATATTTATTTTTGACTCATTCCATATGTACATTACCAAATAAATTGATTTAAATTTAAAAAAATTAAAATTATTTTTGTCAGGCTTAATTAAAACTGTTACTATGTACATACCACTAATACCATTTCCATCATGAAGTTCTTGTTCACCATGAAACCACTGATAAGTCAAATTAATTCCTCCCCATACCTCACATTTAAATAGAGCATTGCCACCCAATAAAATGATACAGGAGTGAGGATGCTCTTTGATTTCTAGGTCAGCTGAGAATAGAAAAAAAAAAGATAGGCAGAGAGCAGGATAAAATTGGTGTGTGAAATGCCATTTTATTATTTTCATGTGCAGTAAGATCAGATAAAACAATTTTCCTACATACTTATTTTAGAACACACACAAAATGATAAGAAAAATATCCTTAAATTAACTCCATTGTGACACCATACAAGTTTTATTTCAAGAGTCTATTTCATAAATACACCACGTCATCTAAAGTAAATAAAAAAATAAACTTACGAGCATGACAAACATATACTTTTGTTGGTGTGGACATTTCCATCGTTGAATATTCTTCATTGTTGTATACAATACAGTAATACTGACCATTATCAGAAATTCTGTCAATGAATGAAAGATATATCAAATAAATTTATTTTATTTTATTAATTATAAACTCCGAACAAAGCCCCTTTCAACTTGAAATTAAAACTGTTAGGCATATTCAGCACTGCGTGCCCTAAAAATAATTTTTAACTCTTTGAAAAGCTTTTGTTGAAGAACAAATGAAGTCAACATAAAAAAGTAGAATATAATTTTCTTTTCTTTCGTTTTGAAACAAAGTAATATTTAGAACAACTAACCAAACTGCACATTCAGCCAAAAGTGTCTTACTTACGTAACAGAAATCAATCTGCAAGTACTTTCTGAAAATCCATTCATCTTTTCTCCATTTTTGTACCACTGATACTGTGGTGGCGGAAAGCCCTTTGCCTTCACTGCAAACTCTACTGTTTCACCTTCTAAAACCTGCATCTCACTAAGGGGATTGTGAGTTATTTCCACTGGAACTAAACAAAAAGAATTTAAAAGCAATGAAATAGCTCAAACATTTAAACAACTGTTTGATTATTACTTACTGCAATAACGAATCTCGTTATTCAGATGCCAGCCACTCTTGAAAGATAAAATACGAGTATCAATGCACATTACTTTGAATATTTCCGCTAGTATTATGTGAGTGAACTTAAACTGCACATACAAAAATTTTAAGTTAATCAAGAATTTTCTTTGCATATTACTGAGATGCATAACATTCTTTAATGAGATTTAATTTAATATTTTAGGGGAAAAAAATTAGTATAATAATTTGTTAACTAACCATAAATTTTAAACAAGTCCATGATGACATGATCATTGGCAGCTATAGCATACCGCACAAATGCCTCTACTGTCATTCCACGGGAACCGAGTTCCATTAACAGTTTTGTTGTGGGACTATCTGCTCTTTCAAAAGGTGCTATATTATTTCTGATTGAAAAAGCCAAACATTAAATTTTTGAAAAAGAAACCATATTGATTACAACACAAATACTTTAGAAATAAATAAATAAATATGTGCATTGTTTTAAGTAACTACAATAACAAAGAAGGCCAATTAAAAGTGTACATTGTCTGACCTTTACTCTTAAAAAGATTTTGTTCACATTTTCTTGGAATCTTCTAACGCATACCAATTTTTTTTTACCCATTGTTTAAATCAAAGTCTTTGAGGTTTAATGACAAGTCCTGCAGAGGTATTAATTAACATCCCGACACAGACAGAGTTGGTAGCAATGACTTTTTTATTGTTTGATGAAGAGAGCTCTAAATAAGTTAAGGATTTTACGACTTATAAACCGTAAATGTGAAGTTAATTCGGCGCCCATTTTTTTAATCTGTTTTATCATCAATATATATGATTTCTTCACAAAATTGCTGAACATCATTAATGTAGTGAATTTGTTAACAGTTCAATAAACTTATTTGTCTCTCACATTGTATAGTTTCCATCTAGTACTGCCACTACTGCCCTCCAACCTTGAGTTGAGGAATCACTAACATCAAGATGATCTCGAATCTTCATAAACAGTAAACCAGGGAGTTGGCTCAAGTTTGAATCTCCTATTATCTTCAAGTCAGCCATACTTATTTTTTTAAAGGAAAACGGAATCTTTTTTGCTTAGAAAAGAATATACAGTATAAAAATTTAATTTAAAATGGTATCTATTTATCGATATATTAAATAATTACAATTTAATATAATTAATTACTTGAACTATCTTCCAATTCTAGACTGAGATCTTCAAACACATTTGTTTTTATTTTCTAATCATTTATTGCTCCCTGTTTTGGCATTTAGCTGAAATTTCCTTTTACATCAGGGAGTCGCAAGCTCAGATTATCAGGGGGCTGCAGGAAGCAGAGTCTGAGTGAGACTGGGCCGCATCAAATATTCCACAAAAAAAGCAATTACAAATTTGATAAAGTGAAACTGTTACAACCTGCTCAACCTTTAGTAATAACTAATAAAAACATTAAGGGTTCTCAAGAACTAGGCTTCACTTTCTTTTTTCTACTGCTTGTTGCCAGAGACCTGACAGCACAAGTGACCAAGCTAACAGGTTCGGAATTTCCCTCACTGGTAAACATTAGCGGAAATTTTAATACTGTGTCAGATTGCTACGATTTACACAATTATCTTTGTGCATTACCCATCAACAGACATTTTAAAATTTTGAAATATGTATATATTTATATATAATATAATATTCGAAGCCCGTTTTCTCAAAACCGCATTTTGGCCATGATTTCGCAAAAATGCTACAAATTAAAATCTTTTAGTCCAATTTCAAAATGTTTTTACCATTATAATCACTGTCAAAATCTATAGGCCTACAAACGTAACAAAAATCAGAATTAGACTAGTCGGTGAGGTTCGACTGAAACTGCCGCGGAGTGTCACATTATAGATATAAGAATGGGAAAAACGCGCGGGCCGCATTAACACTTAAGTTTGCTGGCATGTCGCGGGCCGCAAAATATCGTCTTGCAGGCCGCAAATGGCCTGCGGGCTGGGAGTTTGAGACCCCTGTTTTACATTATCCTGTCTTTTGTTTTCAAGCTTAAACATTTCTTGTTCCACCATTTATTTATTCTTGGTGGACCGTATATTATCCTGGAAATAGATGAAAACATTTCACACACTGCAAAAATTAAGTTGGTTGCATGTTGTTTTAGTTTTACCATGCAATGTGTAATGTGTATTTGTTGGAATTAGTGATGAGCTTGAAGATTAATGTACACTGTTGCAGAGAATGTGGTAGCCCTTATTCCCATAATCACAACAGAATAATTAAATATTTATCCAAGTTATATCAGTTCAAGAGTCAAGAGTAATGACAGATCAATTAGTTCAGGGCCATGCAGAAGATTTGGGGGCTCCGAGCAAACCCGGATTTTGGGCCTCCACAAATTAAAAAAATAAAGTATCAAATCTAATTGTATAAAAAAATTCCAGCCTTGAGGACCCCATTAGGCATTACTTGGTTGCCTGGGCCTCTGAATGACCTTGAATTACTCTGAGGAATAGTTTAATTGTAGTGTTTATATTTGTTCTTTGATGTGGTTTGCACAACTGCTTTTGAAAATTTAAATATCTGTATTTTAAACCTATAAAATTATAAAATATTAAAATTATACTTGTAAAAGTTCAAATATTTCATTTCACACAAATTTTTTAGGGTACACGATTTCCTTTTCTGACCAGAAAGATTAAATTTGGCGCAGGAGAGTAGATCAGAAAGATATTAATTAACTTACTTACTAGTTACTAAGTCGATCTAAGACTTAAGTCAAGGTAATTAAGTGAAGACCTAGACTAATTAGGGCCTAAGTCAATTATTATATTATTAATACTTAAAACTTAATAGTATTAACGCTAAAATAAGGGTTTACCGTTTACCATTAATTACTATAATAATTTAAATAATAAATACTATAATTATTAATTATATTATAGACTTAAGCCTAAATTATAAATTACCATAAATTATTACTCTAGACTCTAGTCCAGACTCCTTAAACTTAATTTGCCTTAAACTTAAATCTTTAACTTTAAAAAAAATTATATTATATTATATATTATTATATAATTATAATATTTTATTAATTTGACAAACTTCACTAGACTCACTAGTACTAGTACTTACAATTACGAATATGCAGTGAATGCAGCTTGAGATTTTAAATTGTTATCCGTTTTCGCTCACCACTAAACAAACTAAACTGGGTCTAAACTGTTTTAAACACTGTTCACTGTTTACATTTTTAAAAAAGCATGAAGCCTAATGTTATAGATTCAATATTTTTATTGACATTATTATTATCTTCTTAGTTCTATTTTTATCCTGACGGGAAACCGATGTTTCTAAAAATTGCTACCAGGAACAATAGTACATCCTGCTTTGTACCTTGGGCGAAAGATTAGATTGTGTGTCGTAAAATAAAAAAAATAACTAATTCTCTATGTAACAATTTAACAATCAACTAATGGCACTAATGACCAATGTCACTTCTACATTGATCGTGGGCCCTTCATATATTATAGAAGAAGAAATGAAATACCCGATAACTGCGCTACATGCATTCTTAAAAAAAAAATGCAAGTCGTGACGAGTGCAGTGTTTCTTTCAGTTTCAGACATCCCCCGGGGGAGGGGCGCATTTAAGATTTTAAGATTTTCGGGGGGGGGGAGCAGTGGCCAGAGGCGTAGCTAAGGGGTGACAGATGGAGCATACGCCCCGGGGCGTTAGATTAGCGGGGGCAACAAAATGGGATTTGATGGTTGAAAATAATTAGTTTCAAATGGGGGGGGGGGGGGTAAAAATGAATAATGTCCCCTAACGCCAAACACTCTAGCTACAACACTGCCAGTGGCGTAGAAAGGGGAAGGGTGAGGTTGTCACTAGGTGTCACTTTTTCTTTATGTGGAGGTGCGGTATTTTCGGACAACTGCAGCGTTTGTATCGAAAAAAGGAGAGCAGCAAAATAGTTGGCCCCCTTACGGTGGCACTAATAGTACCTACGCCTCTAGGAAGTGTATTTCTCGTCACCAAAACTATCGATAATCTTCATTGGGTCTAGGGTAGAAATCGAGGGTGTCGGTGAATCTTTCTTTTATTTATATAAATAAAGGCAAGACAAAGCTGATAATGGTAAACTCAGTCAACCAAGAGCTATCTCTCTGGTAGGAATGCGCTGGAAGAAGTGGAGGCCTTCACATACTTAGACAGCACCATTGACTTAAATAGTAGGCCTGTATGAGGAGTCCAATTGCAAACCCTGCTAAGTCACTTTAGACTGATCTTGAGGAAAACACAATTTTCTAAAACACAATGATGCGCTAATCCTAGGATTCTGGTTTTTGTTCCAGTTGTAGGATTAGCTGCAAATGATATATTTTTAACATAAAATATAGTTAAATGGGCATTTTTGCATTTATAATGCATTATAAAGTTATTACTTAGCAGGTTTTGAAAATGGTTTACATTCTTAGCAGCTTTTGAAAGAGTTTAAAAATATACTTAGCAGCTTTTGAAAGAGTTTAAAAATATACTTAGCAGCTTTTGAAAGAGTTTAAAAATATACTTAGCAGCTTTTGAAAGAGGTTTAAAATTCTTATGAGGATTTGAAAATGGTCTAAATCACTTAGGAAGTTTGACAGCCCACAACAAATTTAAAAGATATAGGGGGGGGGGTGCTCTTTTACATTTTCTTTAAACTGTACTGCATGATTTTAATAAACATTATCAGCAAAATGTGTCGAAAGAAAGTCATGTGCCGGCAAGCTAAATTGTAATTGGCTCTTTTTCACAAATTTTGTTTAAAACAACTACTGCCATTGGCTGGTAACTTAGTAGGGTTTGAAAGTGAATGCTAATGCAACTTAGAAGGTTTTGCAAGTGTATCGTAATTTTGGCTGCACCTATAGCCTATAGGTACCGAGCTACCTATAATCGCCAATGATCAACAGATAGTCTTTAATATCAATTGAAATAAAATCAATAAAAAGCAAAAACAACATTGTTGCTGATTTTTGGTCAAGACAAATCGAGTATAAAGAAAATGACAAAAACATAAAACATATTGAACTTATGTGGACAGTCATACCATACTATAGTTATTCTATATTTATTGTTTTAGTATCAGTAATGTGTGTAACAGACCATGTTACTTATTCATATGACATGGATTTTTTCACAGGACACTAACATTTAGTCCTGTGTTTGGATGTGTTATGGTGAGTTGTGGGTTTACTTGTCCTGCGTTCATTTGCGCGGCCACCGCACCGGACACAAACCATACAGTTTATGCAGCATTAACGATCAGAAATCTGCTTAAAGTAAACCTATACACGGGTAAGCCGCGGCGACTGCGTTGCTGCCCACAGTCACAGCCTTACTAAACATAAACATGGCAAGGCCGTGGAGGCCACGTCGCTCTAGCTATGTCGACGTATTACTTTAGTGTATCAGAGAGTGACTTTGGTAATCAGCAGGCCAGACCTGGGAAACGGCGCATGGGCAAAAAAAGGTGCGAAGCGAGAGACTCGGCTACGTAATAGAATGCCACCAACAACAGAGACTGAGAGAGCGACCAATGTCCAAGCGATGGGTGATGTGTAACGTGTCCTCATAATGAGCAGATCTGGGAAACGTTTCGAGCGGACCAGTGGTTATGTTGCGATATGTTAACTAGAAAGTTGTGCCACCCACTACCACTAAGTTGTGCCACCCACTACCACTAAGTTGTGCCACCCACTACCACTAAGTTGTGCCACCCACATGGTGATTCAACACGGTGGGTGATGGTGATTCAACACGGTGCCACTACCACTAAGTTGTGCCACCCACTACCACTAAGTTGTGCCACCCACTACCACTAAGTTGTGCCACCCACTACCACTAAGTTTAAAAAAAACAAAAAACCTTCAGCTCGCCGAAAATTTATATTTATATATAAATTTAAAAAAAAAGTGGCACCTGTGTCGACCACCCCCTCCACAGCCCCCTTCCTATGCAAGTGGATTGACTTTTTCTCGACTATTTTGAGTCATAGTAGGCAAATAAGCCATTTAAATGGTCTATGGTTGGTCAGCTCTAGTTTGATAGATGTCACTTAATTATTTAGTAGATGCCACCTAAGTTGACTCTGGATTGTGTTGAGTAAAATGAGAGGCAGTGTTAGTGATTTTATGTATCTTGATGGAACCAAGTTGCTTTGTTAGTCATCTGTTTGCAATGGTGTTTATTTCGCTACTGACATATATTTCATTACTTTCGCACTTTTTGCCTATTAGTCTTAGTAAATCACCGTGCAAAGGAAAGGCAGCGCCCAGGGCGAATGCGCCCCCTGATATTGAGGTCCCTTGCGAGTACCACCTTTACATTGCTGTGCATGGATCCAGTCGGCTAGAAAGAAATATCAGACAAAGTAGATAAATCTATAAAATTTTTAAAAGATTATTTAAATCTAAATATATCCAAGTGGGCAATTTTTATAACGTATCTTTGAAGACAGAAGAGTTCTCCTTGTTGTCCGACAATGGCGTCGTTAATGACAAAAGATTCATGAACTGTAGGCTACCTTTTTTTTATGTTGTTCAATTTTGTTAAATGGTTATTGTTCATGAACAAAAAGACGGTAATGATTGTGGTAAAAGTGCAGTTCAGGTGCGTATATTATTTCTGTTTGAATCTCTTATTTTCCCGTGTAAACTTATGTTAATTCTTTATAAAAAGTATTTTAAAAGTTATATACCATCTTTTTATTGGAATACAACAACAATTTAACAAATTTTACGAGATAAAAAA